CATACATAATAATTGCCAAGGAAACTGATGCCTATCCCGTGATCAGGTGATATCTACACCTACGAGCCCCTCCTGCCATTAACCTTTTGGGACATCATCATAATCAGCCATCGACTAAATAAATCCTCTCCATCAAAACCTGACCACGGGGTTTCCAAGTCACGACTTTGGCCGTTGGTCAATCGACCTATATTTCTCATTTCGCGCCAAATGTTTCGCGCCGAAAACCTCGTCCTCACACACACGCACGCCGTGTAATGAGACGCGCGTGTATATTTTATTCCCGCCAATTTCTGACGTATATTATCATATCCCATTAGTGCATTAAGAGATTAGAAACGACAAATGGTCCCTAACACTCCTCACACGCCTGCTCTTCGGGGCAATAAGTGACAGGTGTGTATATATTCCTGTGATGTAAACGTTGATTGCTTGGAGGAAGGCGGGAACGTGGAGGACATTTCCCGCGTTTTTTTCTGGTGTGTGTGTGTCATCCGCGGGAAATATATCACTGTTTGTATTCATTTTGACAATCAGGGTGAATGAATTCTTCATGTAAAGCGTTACTTCTCTCGATAATATTCCTCGGGGAAATGATGAGTGGGGTGAATAAAAATCAGACGAAGAGGGGAGAGAATGGCACATTGTCGTGATTGTTTTCGGAGTTTTTTTATTGAAGATTTGGAAGGAAATATTCGCAATGAGTTTTGGTTTACCGAACATTCTAACCATGGTTTATCACCACCAGAGTTTGAAGTCAAGAAAGGTATTGAATTCTTTGGTGACGAAACACCACAAGCTTGTAGGCAAGAGTTATATAAATCATGCAAAGTTCTGTGGAATTTTGGACAATCGTTGGCATTTCTTCATTATTGTTTTAATTTGTGTTAATTTACATAGGCCTACGTGAAAACTTCAACAATGAAGTCTTCAAGTTGGGTGGAACTATATCCAATCTCCCTGTACTGTGTCCATTAAGACTCTGATTTGTCAAGAAGAGTGAACAGCTTATGTTACTAGGCGCCAGTTTTGAGTGTAAGTACATGTATATTGATGATGATGATGATGCTGCTGCTGATGATGATGATGATGATGATGATGATGGATCACCATCTTTATGTTCATGTTCTTGGGCAATGAGCCGGGCATTCATTCGGTACACCTATTACACTATGTTAGTTGTCTTCTTTTTTCTGTTTTAATGGCACGTTGTCTCAGACAATTAAAATTCATATTAAATATCAAATGGTCTATCTTTCTTATTTATTTTGAGAAAAAAGGAAGTAGAGACAATGTGACAACACGAGGAAGGATGTTTCATACGCCAGAACCTCGTGGACTACGTGAATAATTGATAGCTTGTGATTGGTTGTTGGCTGTGTGCGTCATGACGATGACATAACGCCCCTTTGACCAATAACTTCCAAGTATAATGCTGACGTATGCAGGTAGGTTGACCAATGATATTCAAGTACATCCGACACAGCGCGTGTGGGTTAGCTGATCGGTTGAAGTCGTGACACTAGGATGGTTTTTTTTGGAGGCCTTTAAATTACACTATTGTCCCCTGTTAATTGAATTGCTCTCGAGCAACCCACGTACTTTTGTTTCAACGGGGTAGCGGCAGAGCGCATCTTCCCCCGTCAATTCCAGACGGCACGACCGCGCAAGATGGAAGAGAGCGAGACGGTAAAAAAAAATGCAAAATGGAGTTCCACTAATGCGCTCATCGGAATGAAGACAACGTTTTGGCTGGTAATTGGGCCGTCGGTACGGCACCAGATCACGGCCGAGGTACGGTCCTGCTCCCGCCCCTCATCCCTAATCGTACGTGACTCGGAGCGACTTGCCCCAATAGAAAAGCATTTGATTTCCTTCCTCCGATCCAGCCACAACGGGTCTTGTTTGTTGTACCAATCTGGCCGGGGATTTGCGGCGCGTTTGGGAGCTGTATGCAAACACGCTGATTTGGTTATCTGAAAACAATTTGGCTTTGTGACTAAGACAAACTGTATTGTGATGGGAAGGAAAATTGTTAGCCCACGTATACGGCTAGAGACACCGCCCTATGTGTTTAAACAAAGATCTCAGAAATGTTTCTGACGGTAAATTCAATAAAAGTGCTCTTCGTGTGCATATATCAAAAGCGATAAATGGAAATAATCGCCGTCGTTATCAGATCTATTGAATCAATATAATGTCGAGAAGACTGCACTGAATATTTAACAAGTTTGGAAAGATGTTTGCATGCTCGACTATAATTATGGTCATTTTATTAATAAAGAAAACATTTTGGGAATGGTGGCAGCGGGGATTCAAGAGATGATGATGACGGTGGTAGTTTTGCCCAAACCTTAAAAGGGCTCTGCGAAGTTCGGATGAGGTACACATCGGGTCAGTGACATCAACAACAAACTTAATCGTATTAAAATCCCAACTAGATTGTTCTTTCTCTTTTGATGTCCAAAACATCTTGGTCTTTCCGTATACGACATGGACATACATCAAATGGTCGCTTGTCATTTTAATGGTTTTTAATCACACCTCAGTTTTATTCACTCATCCGAGGAACATTCTGCAACAGCTTACAACTAACTTCATATCACCACCAAAAACACTACCACACCAACATCAAGGCATGCAGATATTATAATAACATAACAAAAATATCATTACTGTCTTATTACTTGTCTGATGTGTTTGCTTAGTGTTTGTCTACAAACTAGGAATTGATAGCTCATCATTTCATGGAAAGTAATTTCCCATTATTATGTGTACTTTCAATCACGTCTTTCAGTGCATTTGGATTTATTATTTTATTTTAGCTTGGGGCGAGTGTTGTACTTTCTCGACGACGGATAATGTAATGCAAAAACTGGAAGACTGCTCGTTTGAAACGCGAGACCTATAATTAGTTTAATTTCCTGCAATTTAGAATGACTCTTGTCTTCTCACGGAAACGTTCTTTCTTCTTCTTTTTTTTAGTTGTCTTCTGCGGGAAATTGATAAAACAAAATTCCGGCGCTGAGTGTAAGTTGTTTTACACGACATCGCCTTGAGGGATATAGAAGCATTAAAACGTCCATTGCATGCATAGGCCCACATCTGGCACTTCACTGTGTGTATAATGAGTGAACTCGGACAAAAATAAATAAAATAAATGCCTTCGGAGTTTTCAGAAGTCGTTCTGATAAATTCTCATATCTGAATTCTGAAGTAGCTCCGCTCAATGCCACATGTAAATAAAACAAACTCTTACCCGTCCATAAATGTTATAATTCATATCCATTTGAGAAAAGGTTTGATGTCATTTGCGTATTTGAAAACGACAGTTTTAAGTACTTGTTTGTCGCGTCTTATTTATAATGCAAAGACTCCTCAGAAAAGTTTGCACAAAAATTTGCCACTTCAAAATTAAAACAAATCTTGAAACCATACTCAAATCACACACGCCGCATCCGCTTTGATCCAAATACTCTCTAATTAGAACGATCTTGAAAGCAAACCAACCGAAGCATGAAAGTCAACCTTGGGAAGAAGATAGCCCGCCGACTACAGAGATGAAACGCCTGGCACACCTCGCGTGACTGACTCGGGTACACGCGCGTGCCGAGAGAGAAAAAATGACAAAATTGTTACACGACACTGATTTTGGCGCCCTTATTTTCCGCGTCAATTCCCGCGCAATCCCCGAGTGTAATCCGATATGATTGATTCTGTTTTTTGGGTACATCGAGATTTCAGACGCATGAGGTATGATTGGTGTTTGGTGATTTGTGAAACTTCTCGCTGACAAGGCTTTCTAGAAAAACGCGGGGGAAAAAGGCGAGTTGTGAAGATTTTAATGGTTGACAAAAATGTCAAGCGATTAAGAGGCTTAACTTAAGAATCCATCTCTAGGTCGCTTCTCTATTCCTATATTCCGGATGCACACGGGGATAAGCAGACAAGGAGACAATAAATTGATATAAAAATATGGAACGATATCTTTTAGATTTAAAAGCTATCAGGGAGAAAAAAATTGGAACATAACTGTCTCTTGTCGGACTTTGTGTCCAAGGCCGTGAAGGAATATCAGGTTCAGAGAAAATAAACAGGGAAATGTATTTTAGATAAAGATGTGCTAAGACGTTGACAATCATAAACTGTACGAGCAAGCGAAGCAGCAACAACAATCAATAAGAATGAACCATTTGAGACTTGAGAATTTGTGATTGAATCGTCTTCTCGCACTGTTTAAGATTTCTTGTCGATGAGGGATGTACAAGATACGTGAGTTTCATTGACAATGCATTTCTGTTCATGGTTCAGCAGATTAAAAAATGACGACAATTTAATAACCGATTGGTGGGAGTTAACATGTACGGCTTTACGTTAGAGGACAGACACACAAGGGAGAACAAAAGATTCTTTCAGTCCTCGAGCGTTGGGTCTTTTGTTGAAAGCGGTCCTCGATCATACATTTACGTGCTTAGTCTATGGGAGAGTGTTATATTACAGGGGCAAAGGGAAACACAAAGCATTGTCCTCGGGCGTATAGAAATTCACAAGTGTGTGAGTTATTGAGTGTGGCCGGGCATGGCCTTGGAGTACAATGATTAATGTCCGATTACTAAAATGATTTTTCTCTATCAGTTTTTCTTTGGCACGTGGTGTATTATTTAGTGTTTACTGAAGAAAAGTTGGAGGGGAAAGGGAAACTGAAAGTGAAATGCTACGATAGAAAAAAAATCAGGAATAGGTTTCATAATCTAATCGCGGTGTTGGGTGAAAGTGTTTCATTTACATGAAATTATTCTAGAGGATTTTTGAATTGCAGTGGTTTTATGCAAGAAATCAGTGTCTGACAGAGACTACGGTTTTCAACGATGAGACTCATCAGTCATCGCTTCTTAGGAAAAGCTGCTCTCGCTCCCGAACTCGCACACCCTGTCTTCATCATGATGACGTATAGCTTAGAATCCAGCATTTTCACCAGGCCACACCAAATGAGCGGCAATCGCCAAAAATTGCTTACGATATTATTATAAAGCTATCCCTAGACATGCACCAGTCCTCCTCTTGATTTGACGCAGCGTGACCCAGGCGCTGCTGTGCCAGCACGCGTATGGGTGATTGAAGACGGAGCGGTAATCTAATCGCCCACGTGAAGGAGGACTGTTTCCAGTCGACGGAAGGACTGGGTTTTTAAGAGTTGTCTTTGGCACTTGCTGGGTTAGTTGCATCAAGGTGGGGTAGGGAGTAGTGAATCATTTGCCTGGACCTGGTCTTGTCAAGACGGTGGACCTTGCATCCATAAGACATACTTTGCTCCCCGTGTCGCATCGCCTTGGTCTCCACTGAAGAGTTGCTATAATCACCTGCAGAGCTGAGGGTTTAATTGAGCCGCGAAAACAGGTGAGTGTCTCTTGGGATTAACCATTGGGTGTACCAGGCACGGAATGGGAGATGTATTTAGGTCGCTTCAAGACTTCCATTAGATCAGGTTGAACGATCTACAAATCCAACAATTACTCAATGCTTAATGCTGATACCTGAAAATAAGGTGATACATCTTTCATTTTCATCCGAAACTATCAATCATTTTTTTAAAAAAATACAGAACTAGGTCAATTTTGGCTAAAAGAAAACTTTGGATTACACAAATTATCACTGTCAACATCTCACCGATGGAGAAAAACAATTTGCTGCAAAAAGTCATCAATTTTCAAATAAAAAAAGTGCTTGGTTAGAATTTAGTTAAAATATAAGCAACTCTTTGATCAAACTCCAATTTGCACCGACGTTGTATTATTTCTTAAACAAACACTGTATATATACTCCGCGTTCTCCGAGGGCTTGTGAGGAAAAAAATCGCCAACTACTCGGGTGGGACTCGAACCCACTACCTCCCGCTTAGTGCAGACATTTACCACTCGACCACCGATCTAGTTGTTTTGCTGATCGAATACTCACGTCACAATTTCATATCTGGAAGAAAACCTTTTCATTTGTTTGATTGACAACACCGCGACAAAATGGCAATGCGCACTGTTGTCCCAAGATAAGTCCCGCCTGTGAAAATGCCAGACAGTCTTTTACTGTGACCTCGAAGTGTTGCAAAAATTCAGGCTTTTCCCCCTCAACCCAATTCGTAAGACTGAGACGGATTCACTGATTTCTCCCAGGAATTCATGCACTTTTCCTTGTTCTTTTTCTTTCCCGTGATGCCCTATATTTCCTCCTCCGCACAGCAATTTAAATAAAAGTTATCAAAATAAAAAATGTGCTCGATGGAGACTTTGGCATTTGACTTCGAATTATCCTCGACGAGAAATCATTTCGGCTCAGCGATGTCCTTTTGGGGTGTACAAGGCGGAGTACTTGCTACACTCCAGGGAAATAAGACGAATGTTTTCTCTGAGAAGAAACTGATACTGTAGAGTAGATTATCAAGTGGGATGGGAATCTCAGAGGGGACCACATACTCCCAAGGGTGGGATAGTAAAAGTCATTCTTTTTTAAAAGGGACATGTTTTCTCGAGTCCAGCGATTTAAGGTTTTGACGTCCTGGTGTGCCTCAGCTTATATGTACAGGAAATAACAACATAAGCCATGATTTTGATGAAATAACGGAGTTGGGAAAAGTAATCTGAAATCCGAATGCCCTGGAGTAACTTTAAAGTTGAATCACATTGTACAAAAGTTTACAGCGAGGAGAGACACACATGTGCATTACCGTTCACTACTGTTTTTCACAACAAACTTCTGTAGTTATTTGTGGTCATACCATAAATAACTCGTTTCATTTTTACTTTTGACGAAGCACTCTTCAGTGAATTGGTTTGTGCGGGTGTCGAACCAAAGACATTCCACCTACAAGTGCAGATGTCTCAACCACCACCCTTTCATATATCCCACGAAACTGCCGACCCAACTCATCCTCTCCATTCATCTATACACATACTCCCATCAGGACGATTTCGAGCACTCCCCACTCACATAAACCGGTTCAGATTGTCTTTTTCACCTAGTGCCTTTCATCTCTACACTTCTAATTTTATCAGATACATACCGTTGGCAATGTTTTTATAATCACACTAGAACTTTTTCAATAACTAACTTAGCACATCATTGTCTTTTTCACCTAGTGCCTTTCATCTCTACACTTCTAATTTTATCAGATACATACCGTTGGCAATGTTTTTATAATCACACTAGAACTTTTTCAATAACTAACTTAGCACATCAGTATGTAGATTTGAATTGTTTTTACAACAAGCTTTTTATAGATTTTTACTTTTTTTTATTTCAAACTTCTTTTTTTCCCCACAGCAGGCATTTTTTACTGGCGTTTTATACTTTTTTCGTGAATTGTATTTTCATCGTAAATTCTTGTATGTTTAACATTGAGAAGATGAATTTAACTTTTAAAGTCTTTTCATTGTGATGAAATAAAATATTGAATTGAATTGAATTGAATATCTTTTAACGAGCAAAAGTACCGCATTTAAGTTCATAACGAACACAAAGTATAGATATGGAAATGATTTGGATATTTCTTTTAAAAATATCTTCCCAAGAAGAATGTTGTTGTTGTGCGGTGTCGCATCAAAGACCTTCCACCTTACAAGTACAGGTGTTTTTTTAACAATCACCCTTTAATGCCTTAAATATCTTATAAAAAACTACCGCATCTAAGTTAATAACGAACACAAATTTTACATATAGCAATTGTTTGGATTAAAAGAAAACAAATCTTTCCAAGAGGGACTTTTTTTTAGGACACGAGGAAAATCAGTCATTACTTGTAGGTCCGACCACTTCCGTAAACCTCGTTTTCTTCACGTGGAAGTTCACTAAACGCGCTTATCGATGCTTTTAGGGAAAAGTATGTGACAAAAAGACAGGGTAGTTAATAAAAAAAATGACCAATATTGAGTGAAACGACGAATCCTTTTAAGCAACTTTAGTTTGTTGAAAAAGGAAGTGCAATGGTTGAACCGTTCACGTGACAACTGACACAAAAGAGAATCTTTCTGTAAAATGAATTTGAAGGATGCAGCTTGTGGCGACGTGCTGTGTCGTGAACATTTGTCATGTATAGCGTGGGGGAGAGTTTGTTGATCCGTCGAATGGGACGATTGGACGGGTGGGTAATTGAAAGCGTCGCGCTGGATTAAGGTGGATATTCGAAAACTGACGATGTCGCTGCAGGCTTGCGCGTGTTCCGTTAAACATTTGAGAACTTTTTTACATATCGGATTTAGTGGGTGTCACATTGCAAGACTTTTGATTGAAAAACGGATCAGTGTTGAAAGATACGTTTAGGAGTCTGAGTTAACTGCGAAGGGTAACTATAGCAACTGCACATTATCGTTGGGGCCCATGCAATGTATTTTTTTAAATGTAATCCTTCAAAATGTATACCTTTGTGTCCTATGTAACCTGATTTTTAATTTTCGTTTTGCCATTTTCGAGTTTTTTTAGTGCCTTTTTGGTAGTTTATACTAATGTAAATGTAGCAAAATGTGATGACATTTCAGTCGGAAACCTCAATGTTACAGCTATTTCAGCACCAAAGTTGCCAGAATTTTGAATATCAATTTTTGCTGTTGTAAATTTTAAGTTTATTTTTCTTTGGTGATTCGTTGTTGTGTCAGTACATGGCAGAAAGCCAACGAGCAAATTTGTCTCACAAATGTTTTCAATAAACGAAATTTGTTGGCTCACAATTTCAACATAAAACCGCTAAACTGAACAGTGTCTTCCTGATGAATGACGTCACAGCAACAACGCCCTCGGTTGTCCGAAAAAGCATGGAATTATTCAAATGTTTAAAGAAGTGCACTTTCCAATAGAATTAATCAAAAATCAAAAAAAGGGATGTCGGACAGTTTTCATACATTTTGAGAGGAGTAGAAAGTTGCACAAAATGTGTTCCTAAGAAAAGGTCATCGCATGGACACCCTAAGAATTTCGAAAAATTCTAGGAAAAAAAGCCTGACTCTTATTTCTTCTTTTGTTCTGTTCACTTGAAAACGTGATGTAAGATGATTTGTTATATAGAGCTTATGCACTGCAGCCATCTTGGTGGGCAGAACTTTTGACTACTAGCATCGGCTTGAGTTTATACACCGTTTACGGATTCACTTGTACAAATCCATGCAGAAGCTTTTTCAAATTCTGCGCATGCGCCAAGTTTGGCGATCCCTTTGAAACACCGTTCAAGCAAAAAACACATCTTACACTTCATAAACGGTTACACAGGGCGAGTCAAATAAAAAAAAGGGAAACCCAAATTTATAAGCTTTCTTTTAGTACAAGAATCATTCAAATCACTCAACTTTTCAAGTTACGGAATTTTAAACACAAACAACGTTTTAAAGTTCTATCCACGGATCACAAAAAAAAGGTAAGTATTCTTTCAGCAAAACTAAAACAATTCACATACATCCTATGAGAATTGTTTTAGTTTTGCTGAAAGAACACGCACCTTTTTTTGTGATCCATGGACAGAACTTTAAAACGGTGTTTGTGTTTAAAAATCGGTAACTTGAAAAGAACATGAGTGATTTGAATGATTCTTGTACTAAAAGAAAGCTTATTAATTGGGCTTTCATATCCTAGATATTGAAAGTGCTACATGCAGAACTTCAATAAAAAAAATGGTCGTGACATTTGAGTTTTTTTTTTTTTTTTTACTCACCCTGTATTCGCGATTTTGTAGCTCCTCAGAATCACAGCCGTGTCTGCATATTCGTTTGCGCAGTCACGTTTTTCTGTCGTTAGAAAAAAAGAGATTATACAGACACACAAAATATCACTGCAAATCTTTGGGAAACAAAATCTTTCGGACGAAAAAATAAGAGAATTTTAATACTTGTGTTATAGACGTGGCTGAACTTTAGCTGCATCGATTTGTACAGTCATGGTATTGAATCAATAACGTGCTAAACTCATAATTTTGTGAATTCCTTAACCAGTCCGTTCAGGCTTGAAGCAATACCCCCTAACCCCCTCCCCGACTGCTTTCATCTATGCTTTTAATTCACCCTACTTAATCAAATTAAGGGCACGCCCCCTCACCTACTTTCCCTCAACGATTCTAAAAAGGCTTCCGACGGCTTGGAAATGGCTGTAAAACACGGACAAGAAGCGTGGGTAATGGCCTCGGAAAGACACAGATCAAGCCAGTTGCATGAAACGATATAAACAAAACAAAACAAAAAGCTCGGAAAAGATGATGCGAGCATTTTGCGGTTGGCGCGCGCGCCGCGTTTTGTGACCGGGCATTTCTCGGGGCGATCGTTACGATTTTACGCTATGTTTGTTCTTCGTGTCCAGTACTTATTAAACACACTCTCTAGCCCCTGGGAGTTAATTGACTCGGGAGTGCATCGTTGGGGGACAACTGCGATGATTTGGGTGAGGGGAAGAGGGGGAAAAAAGCTTTCTTATCAATTTGGACGAAACTGCCTCTCGGAAGTTCACCGTTTCTGCAAGCACTCGGCGTGATTTTACCTAAATTGATTTGTTTTGTAGGGGTTCGGTCGGTCAATTGATAGTCGTTGGGTTGTATTTTAGTTTTCTATACAAAGAAATGGGTGCGTAAATGACCTTATACATACATAATGTTATTAGTGTCGTTTGATTGGAGTTCAGTGGGTATTTTTAGCTGGTTTATTGGTTTGATCAATTTTGTTGGTAGAGAAATTCAGGTTGCGTGTTTTCTTTTTCCCGCAGTGAGAACACGTTATAAGCGGACGTCAATTTTTATGTTATTTTTTTTTATAAATAAACCAAATTAAAAATGTGAAATTGGCCACTGAATCTGTTTTTTTGTCGAACCTTGGCAAATAAAACAAAATGGCCTCGAAACGTATAAATATTTTGTCTTGTCTTTTATCACATAAATTGACAACCAGGTCAAAACATTTTGATTTAGAGCTATAGCAAAATAAAAGTGCACAAAAATATAAATAATTAAATATAACCAACAATATTTTGTAAACCTGAGTAATATAACTTTAAATGCTTCTTCAAGAACACTTTCAGAAATTCCAATTTCAAAAGATTCTTTAATTACGAGCAAAGAAATAATAACAAAGCGCACGGGTAACATTTTGTTGACGCCTGATTAAATAGAAATACCTCTTAGCGCCAAATATTTTCCGGTACAATTCTCAGGAAAACCAGACAACCCGCAAAAAGACGGTCCATTTGGTGTTTGTTATTGAAGCTGCGTATAGACTATAGTTCGCGTATAGTGATGTGCTCAAGGCATCCCAATGCTTATCCATTACCAAGCATGTTTTTTTTTTTTTTTTAAGTTTTACGCCCACAAAAGTTTTGCGAATAAACTTAGAAGACGTTCACATATTGAAGATATCATAGGATGAACTGATCAAAACGCATTTACCAAAGAATTTTTGGGGGGGGGGGGGGGGGGTGGGGGCAATTTTTTTACGCGGCTTTAAGCCTATACGCTATCCAGCCCGGTGTTTACAGAGAATGTGCGTTCAATTTGACGCACTGCGATCGGCGGGAATCGAGGCGTGTTTGTGCTTCCACTCGCTCGGGTGAATTTTTCAATTTGCGGCGGGCGGGCGGGGAATAGGGCCTACATGTAGTTGGAAATTACCACGCGTATAGGTCCTAAGCTGCCTGTAACAGGCAGGAAGGGAATATAGCGGCGTTGTCTCCCAAGGCTTGAGGCTTAAGAAGATTGATAGGTGGATCAGATCCCCGTAAGAGTAAAGGCTCAACTGGCATTAATCTTCCGCGGTGAGGATTTACGATGTTGAAGGAACGAAACCTAAGTGGAGATTGTATAGGAATTGTCTGGGGAGAAATGATCGGTTGCCATACCGTAACTGGTTAATGCCTGAATGTAATAGAAACTCTACGCAAAAGTGCCAGACGATGCGTATAACTAATAAAATGCAATACCGTATCGTCTTCCTGAACAAACGGTGGGTGGAGATTTATAGGTAACTAGAAGACGTTATGGGAAAAGGCCAATTTCTGTTAAAATGGTTACGAAATATCAGGCAACATCAGGATCAATCTGCATCAGTTCGGATTGCAACTGACTGGGTAATCATTTAATCTGCATGTCGAGGGACACGTCATGCATGACGTGTCCCTCGGCGCATGTATCTGTATCCGATGACATCTACTTAAGTTAATCTGGTAAAACTCACTAAAAATAGCTCAAAATAGATTGGGAAGACCTGATTGTTTCGTTCTTTCATAGTCTCAATCACTAGAACTACTGAAATAATTACTCATTTTCCAATTTGTTACAATCGCTATTAGTCTACCCAAATGGTCATTTAAAATTTATGCGGTTCAAATAAAGAAATGGAGAACTCTTAATCATAACGAGACTACAAATAAAATTCAAGTATTACTGAGATTCTATTAATAACATCATGTCACGTGACCCTAAAAATATCTGTCCAGAATTGTCTAGTCACGTGATGTGATGACAGCAAACGGCCGGCTTCCAACACCATGAACTGCGGAAGGTGTTGGGACGTTATAGCAAATAATGAAACTTTTATGCAACATTATTAAAGCAAGGCTGTGTGCGATATAGGCTGCCAGAGCTATGGCTAGGCTAGGCTACATCTCCTGTCGGCATGTGTGCCAATTGGCCTATTTGAGATATGGCAGACACTCAGGAGGGCGCTGTTTGATGTAAAGTTTGTTTGTGTTTGTTTACCCAAACCAAATAGCGCCCTCCTGCTGTGTTGGCCAAATCAAAATAGGCTATTGTATATTTGGGGGAAAACAAGAGATTACTTGGTCTGATGAAATAAACCGTTTTATTGCTTTTTCGACAGATACACCATCATGACTAACTACATCTTATTCCTTGGCCTCGTGGTCGCCATGTTTGCCATCCTAGCAACGAGCTCAGATGATGCCGCCCTCAACGACGAGGTTCAGTCACCAGAGGACGCCGAGGCACTCAGCAACTTTCTGGACGGCCTCCTGCAGTCGAGGGTGGACCGTTCCTGGCGCAAACCCTGCGATGGCAACTCGTGCATCCAATCTGGGGGACGAGGTTGGAAGAGGAATCGCGCCCCCTTTAGTTTGGACGGTTTCAAGTGCGTCGGGGCCGGGTGCGATAGAGGCTGGAAACGGACCTCGGAGAGGAAGCGTTAAATGGTGGTGCAACGGGGCAGATACCAGACCACTCAAGTGACCAATAAAAAAACTGCTTTAGATATTGACAACGGCTAATCTACTAATCTACGTTTACATTGAACTCAACGATTAAGTTTCATTCAACCCATAAGATAGTTTTAAAAAATCATCCTCTCGCTAGATTGATCAAACGAGTTGAAAAATATCACAGAGACAATCTTTAGAACTATTAAGCATTCCTTTTTAGAAAAGATACTGTAAAGAAAATTCTATAACATTCATTTGGTGGAATGTTATTAGTTTTAATATTTCAAGTTAAATAGATCTGTTATCGAACGAAAATATAATTCAGGTTTATGTTACCTAAATATCTGAGAGTTTTGCGCCATGTCATTCCTGGAATTAATGAAACAACGGAATTCAGTTTAATTGGAAGCCTTAAATACATTTTCTTTTCATTTAATAGGGTAGGGCATTACAAAATGTAAGATTATGAACAGTTTGAAGTAGTTAAATGTAGGAAGAGATTCGCACAAAATATTGCATTGGAGATGGCGGATTTGACCAGAATCGATAACAACAAAATCGAATAAAGGAAAATGGATTTGAAGAATCGAGGTGTCGGTGATGCCAAATTTTCTACGTTTGCACATTTCTAACATTACAACACCTTTAAAAAAATCTCTATTATAATGCACCTCGTGGTATATGCATACAATATTAATAAGAATAGAAAACGATATGGGTTTTTTTTCGGCGATAGCTACAACTACTGAACTCCATGGCATTTGTGCTATTCATCATATTTTCAAATACACTAAAATAATTTGTATGTGGATTGGATCCTATGAATATTAAAGCGTCTAGAAGCACACAAACGTATTTGTAGCCCAATCTCACGTTTCGTTTTCCGCTTGGGCCGTCTTCAGCGCATGAATGACCGACTGACATCAACCAAATTGATTTGTTTTTAAACCCCAAGGTTTTTAAATTTGTTCGCAATGTGTCGCTAGAATATCCTACTTCAATGCTTATCCCAAGATGCGCAGTCCCAAGCCACATTTGCAAAGGGTATACCGTCAAAATAATACCTTTACGGTGTCACTCGGGCCGTTTAGCAATCTATCAAAAGTGTTTCCGCGGGCAAAAGTTGTCCCACAGCCCGTCAATTTGTGCCAACACTTTGAACGCCTTTGGCAAGTCGACTACTTAGCTGCTGTTATAGGGAAATCAGTGTACATACAAATGTTAGCTGTAATAAACATTGTGTTATCGCTATAATGTGCTTGTTTTGTTTTCTAAGTCATTTTGCCTCGACTTCCCTGAGGGCGTCTTTTTAGTTTTTACAACAACATCATCTCATTCTACTCTCAATGTTTTTTCCTCTTTTTTTGTACACATTCAAAGTAAAATTCTAATCAAATGATTCCCCGTATATGCTATGTTCGCCAATGGTGAAAACGAATAACGCAGCGTGCGTAATTACGTCTAATGGCGCTTGTTTAATTATTTTGTTTTTGGTGAATTCTGGATTGGTGTTTGGACAATTTATTTCAATTCACGAGTCCCGGAGGCTGGTTGGAATTGGAGAAGATGTCAAGTGGGAATTAACCACACGGGAATATGAAAGAAAAACATATACAGACATTTTTTGTTGCAAATAGGAATGAAAATATGACCGGTGCTTCTTTATAGTGATGAAGTCAACGGATTGAAATCGAAAGAATGTTTTCCTAAAACATTCCGAAGTTCTGCAGTGTGTTAAAAATACGTTTGAACCGTCTGCACTGATTTCCAGTTGCCAATCTGAAAACCCTCTCCAAAAAAAGGACAAGATCGATAATTATAGAGATTTTATATAAGTTATTAACTTTCCTTGTGCGGGTAACACCATGTGGAAAGATATCTCTTCTTGGTAGAAGTGTGGTTCTAAAAGAACCGATTGGTTGGTTGGTTCTTTTCAGAACCACACTTCTTCCAAGAAGAGATATCTTTCCTCATGGTGTTACCCGCAAACTTTAGAATTTATCTCATACGCCATGCAAAGCTTCAAAACATATATATTGCGATTTAGTTTAGTTTATCGTTCGTCTGAAACAATTTCAGCTCTACGGATTTTTTTTTTTTGGGGGGGGGCGGGGGAGGAGGGGGAGGAAGAAGGCTGTAAGGCATCATTAATAAAAACGCAATTCCTCGCCGAATCGCAAAGTGTAACAGGGCAGAAAAAATGGCGCCAATTCGGATTTATCGGAGCAGACGTGATTGATTTTGGCGGGAAACATGACAGTTATCATTTATGCATGTGTAAGCTTTCCGTATAGACAGCTCCTAGCGACGTTTAATAATGGGTGCCCTCAACTCGAGTTCGCCGAGGCCCGATGAGGGGTTTTTGAAATTAATTTGACGGTAATCGTTCAGGAAGGTCTTATATGAGATCACGTCCGAGTTGGAGTCATTGCTCATCGCTTCTTAACAGACTCGAAATATCTATCAAAATAATAATAAAAATATTGGTCAGAATGGGAAAGAGGGCGCTCTTCTAATCCTGGGCAAGTGTTGGATTCGAATCGTTGGGTGCAGAATAGAATCGTTAGGGGTGCAGACTTGTAAAAAATACAACCAAAATTGCCTACGCGATCCAAATCACTATTATTTGTATGCCCTCAAATTCTTTGCTATCAGAGCATTTTGTGGACCATGAGCTTGAACGTTTGTAAACACCTTGGAGAGCTGTGAGTATTTTAAATATGTTTTGGAAGTACGCGTAATTAGCACTGAGGTCTATGGGAGTCCAGTTACAGGTCTGAAACCTTTGAGGGTGCACACCGGTAAATAGGCCAAAATCCATCCGCCGAGCTCATGAATAAAAGTTATACCCTCAAAATATTCTATATTAGAGAGTTCTGAGCGCCGTAACATTGGGGAATTGAAGAGATATGGTAATGAACCTCTGGCCCGGACTTGGGGCTTCCAATTCTGAGCATTTTGGATGATATTGGGCTCGAAAGTGGCGCTATTTTGCCATGTTGTGGAGGGATCGTTTTTCAAGATGGCTACTTCTCCGCTTTGGGGAAAATAGGGGTCGTCTTCTTTGGGTGAGAATATCTCGAAAAGTCAATGGTCAACCCACCAAAAAAATTAAAAGAAAACGAAAGATGACATGTTAATCATCATTTTTTCTGTGCAGCTTGAATACCTGTGAGAAAAGAATTTTGAAGTATGGGCAATTAACACTAGTGTCTATGGGAATTTATTTGCAGGGTTGCATCCTTTGGGAGTACGTACGTCTTTACGAATTAAACAGCATTACGAGAAAAGTTTGCATTTAAAGTCAGCAGAGGGCGCTCTGTGTTTTTTACGCTAAAAATTTTTTTCGCGGGGGGGGGTGGGTGCACACTAAATATCAACATATTATGGGTGGCACAATTTTTATTGTCTGGATTTATGATACGTATGAATTTAAAGGGACTTGTTTAAATGAAGGAAAAATAAGATTGACTGCCCCAACGGAGAAATTGCCGAGCGGTGGATTAATATAGATGGCGCTGTTACTAGCTACCGTAGTTGCAGAAGGCGCAGCATGTTCACACAAGGCTCTTTCTCAGACACAGGACTCGTCTCTGGCTCCAGCTCCACTGCCAAACGTAATGCCTGGAGCCGGAGACGGAGATAAAGCCAGGATTTGATAAACGGCCTTCGATCTGCTTGATGTCAATTTTAAAGCATGGTGGGGACAGTTATTGATATGGAAGGGAATTCATATCTTTGAAAATTTGTAATGCAAACTATGTACGTAGCGTCGGATGTGGGCGCACCACTATACTCCCGCCATCCCCTCTCTCTCCCCCCCCCACCCCCATACCCCCCCCCCCCCCCCCCCCTCATGATAGGGACAATTTTTGCGGAAGGGGAGTTCACATCTTAGAAAATTTGTTGGGGATTGATAATGCAAACTATGTACATAGCGTTAATGTGGGCGCACACAATTCCATACTCTGCCGGCGCCCGTGGAGTTCCCCCTGGACCCTGCAAATTTCACCCAAGCTTTACGCGATAGGCCTACCGTACAGCACGTGTCTTAACACGTGAAGTCTAGCTTGTTTGCTGTCAACGAAAGAAATAATGTGCGGATAATATAAAGAGTCAAATGTGGTGTGAAGTAGTTGAAAGGGTAGCTGGATTACCAAGTCATGAGATCTAAGACGACAAGTATTGTTGAACCCCCCCCCCCCATTCCCAGGAAAGGAAGACGACCTTGATGCTTCAGTGATCTCTCTCTCTCTAAAGGGGGAGGGATTGCTGAAGCATCAAGGTCGTCTTCCCACTTTTTCCAGAGAAGGGGGGTGTTCGTCTTCTATTGGCTTGGTAATCCAAGTATGCCCTTTGACCGTTTCGTACCGCTTTGAGCAACATTGTCAACTTTGAAAGAACAGCTAACGGCACGGTAGGCACGGTTACTTAGGACCAGTTTGCAGGGCCACACAAGGAAACTCATTTTTCTGGAGAGGCGGGGACTCATTGTTTTCCTTCTGAGTGGATGGGGGGGGGCACAGGCCCCGAGTTGGGGGGGGGGGGCGGGTACGTCCCCCATGTTTCCTTATAGTGGCTCCAGTTTAAGACTGGAGTTAAAAGATGTGGATTGTGTATTTGTAAGTTAATTTTGATTAATTGTGGATTTTCTTTTAGTCGTTAAACAGTTTTTAACGCACACGGGATGTAGAATTTCATGGTTTCTTTTTAATCATGCTGGTTAATCAAAAAGTTGAAATTGAATTGAATTGACGAAACTTCCACCTTCTCAAAAGCTGGCCCCAATTTAGTAGCACATTCTGTTTCCTTCGTTGACATCAAACATGTGTTAAGACATGTGCCGTCAGAAGCAACATTGCCAACTAATCAAAGGACCAGTAGCGTATAGACGGGTCCCATTTGCAGGGGACGCTCAAGGGGAACCCTTTTTTTCTGGAGGGGGGGGACTTATTGCGTTTTTAGAAATAACAAGCTCTTTTGTCCTTCTGACTGGAGAGTACAAGGGTGACAAGCAGGGGGGGGGGGGGGAGGCACGTCCCCAACATTAGTTACTGCACTTTAAGAAACTTCCATCATCTCAAAAAATCAACAATCGTAGCTGGCCCCGATTTCTGTTTCAGAGCTGAAGCTTTTGAAGGCTCACATTCAATTAGACTTACGCTCTTGTAATTGTTGCAGGTTTGGTAAGGGCAATCTTCCATGAATACAGATTTCACAAAAGACAGATTAAAAACGATTCAGTGATTCTTTTCAATTGATTTCAAAAGTTTGACAAGGCTGTCTGGTTTTTAGATTTACCATCCTTGAAAGTAAAATTGAATTAATCGCAGGCAAACATGTCAGACCAACAACCCTTGATAATAGAAAAAAACCAACCCCAACCATCACTAATGGCCGATTTACAAAAGTGCAATCCCCTACCATGGTTAAAGGGAATGTACATCATTGGCATTTGCTTTAATTTTCAGAAATGAACTATTTGAGGGGTTAGTATAATATATCAAATTATTGTTACACTGACATGTTTGAAGTTTTGTGTTGGAACATGCTGGAAAAACTAAGAAAAACTAAAATGTTAGAGTAGTCTGGTTCCCTGACTCCACTGAAGATTAAATGGATTAATTTATAGATGCCGGAAAATTGTACGATAAGGGAACCCAGTCTAGCTGGCCTGCACCCATTCAGAACATGCAACCAATAGCAAACAAAATTTGGACTGAAAAAATGGTACATTTGGAGCAGTAGTTGAAAAATAGTTAGGTTTTTCCAACGATGGTCGGCCGACCACCGTTGGAAATGTATACAAAATTACCATTTTCTTGAAAGTGACTTCTCACAAGGTGCCATAATTTTACAGGATGCTTTAGACTGCCATTTACCAACATCCTGTTGTGTATTTCGTAAAAACTTGGTAGTTTTTTTTCTCGATGTTTGCAAATGTTGTATTTTCCCTTTAAACCCCGATTTGCAGTGTATTATTCACAATGGAGTTTCAATGCAATCTTACATGGAGAAGGATTAGTCTGATATTTGTAGGGTTTTTAGTCAGAGGCCTGTATTCACGAGTCGGCCATATTTAATTGAAAGCGAGGTAAAATCTTCATTTTTTGGAACTTGCGAATAGAAATGAAAGCAATGACATAAATTCAATTACAAATTAATACCAGTCTGTTCTGATGAATGAATTATAAATGTGCGATTAAACGAACTCTAATGTTTTAAACCACATGAAAGTGAAGCTTGGACCGCATAAATAGTCTGGCACCCATCCCATTCAACAGTTTATAAAATACATTCATGGAATACGATCAAAAATGACTTTCAAATGGTGTTTCATTTTGGAGTTAAACAGAGCTACCCTATACATTTTGGTTTCACTTCAACAGGATGACCATCGAGTCATTCAAAATGCAACCATGCCGAAATAACATCATGATGATATTACTTGTGTTATTTTTGGCTTAGCATGACATCATCTTACCAATCCATTATTGACCATACAGTGGTAAGTAAATCGAGCTATGATTTTCACGCATGAAAAATTGCTGTTCCTGTGGGAAATTGCTGTTCCTGTGGGGAAACAAAAGTCTACAGCAACTCCTTTCATACCCGAAATGACTCATAAAGTATCATTTAACAATGGCTCCAATTCAGCTCAACCTATAATTTTTTTCACGAAGGATATACCCATACTTTTCTTATGCAGACACCCCCTCCCCCCACCCCCTAGTTTCTTTCAAAATCCAAACAATAATTCTGGGTTCAAGGTAAATACGTTCGAGTTATGATGTTACTTGGTTTTTTTTTCTAGGGGTTTGTGAAAATTTGGGGTCAGTTGTATAATAGTGCATTGTTCCAAACAAAGACGGGAAAGCAGAACTCTCCGGATTATATCACGGCTCAAATATTTCGTATTGTTGTTCAAATATTTGTCATTGTTGTTCTTTCTTTGTTTGTGGTGGATTTTATGCAAATATCATCTGGTACCGTGAGGTCGGTTTCTACCGTACTTTTTATAGATCGAAGTCAGTTTGTGGTCACTTTTTATTTTCAGCCGGAAACTTGGCTTTGCAATTTTTACCAAAACGTAAAGTATACAAAAGCCTTTATCAAAATGAAGTGATATGTACTTTCACGATCTCCAGGGTGACGATTTTGGCACGAAAACCAAACAGATAATGGGCAGTTTAACAGGGGTATTGTGGTCTTGTTTGTGGAGATTTCTTCCGGAATTTCCGCCACAATGGTCATTCTTCTCAGGTCAAGGCAAAGTAGCCGTAAGCCATAAGTTAAAAAGAAAAAAAGAGTCAAGTTTGTCACGAGCCAATGGGGTCCATAAGGCCAGCATTTATCAACTGAGAATATTCTACTCCCCGTGGACGAGGTGCTAGTCCATGGCAGGTTACAGCCTCAGCTATAATGCCGGTACCCATTTATACTCCTTGGTGGAGAGGCAAGTGAGGGTGAAGTGGCTTGCCTAAGGACACAACATATGACCGGCAGCTGGATTTGAACCCCTGACCCTCTGATCATGAGTCACAAACCCCAACCACTAGGCCACACTCCCCAGACCTAACCACTATAGGCCACATCCCCCCCCCCCTTTAGGCCATAAGGCAAAAAGGTATATATAAATTATCAACGTGGTTTCAATTTTCAAAGTTTCGGGGAAACACTAAGTTTTCAAAAATAATCCATGTAAATGCATGTTTTGGTAGCTGTTATAGTGACCCCTTTCTTGCTGAAAAATTCAGCTATGCCAACACAACTGTCAAAATCAATCAAGTGACTGTTTTGCAGTTAATAATTCCTTTTGTTAATTGATTATAGCCATGCTTTGACTGGAGGTGATTGATCTGCCAGCTGTACGTCACCTCTTTTGTCCGTTGATGGAATTTGACTCATCACCACAATTAGTGTTTACATGAATGTGATCTGAGCCTGTATACATGAATGCATTGCAAAGGAAGCAATTTTTGACTGTCTGTGAATGATCAAACAGTCTTGAGTAATTGGGTAATACGTTTATATACCAAAAGTTGAAGGCGACTTGGTCAATCTATTAAGTTCAGGCGTGAACAAGTCGACGAGTTAAAAAAGATCATTACTCAAAAGATGATTTTTTTTTTTGCAAATTGGCATGACGGTTTCATTTCACTTCACAGTTAAGTTTCACTGCTGGAATAAAAGATGAGAAGTTTGTCCGATTTTATTGTACGCGCATCATCTTCCGAAAGGGAAGTGTATGCGATCCATGATTGACCCCCGACCCTTACCCAACCCCGCCTCCCACCTCGCCTTACCCCATCCAACCCCACTCCACAACACCCGACCCCATCCCAGCCCAACCCACACCACCCGTCCCCATCCCATCCAACCCCACTGCACACCACCCGACCCCATTCCATCCCCAGCCCAACCCACACCACCCACGTTTGTTTTGCATACCTAGTGTGGACATTCCTTTGTTTTCGTGTAGTTAAGAAAAACCAGTGAAAAAAACCTCATTTTACTCAAACTGTGAAAACTCTTTCAACCCCATTTTTTATGATTCCCTGCAGCGTTTCTCTTCATTTTGCCACGTATAAACCTAACCCCAAAATGAGGCACTAAACCTGTTTTCCAGAGAGGGGAAAACCTTGTGTGGAGGTGGGCAAGTCCACACAACGTCGCTGCTACCTGGTTTATGTGGACCTCTTTTGTTCGGAAGTCCACACAGTGAATGTAGTTCTTGTACACCCGACCCCATCTCATCCAAGCCCACCCCAACCCCGACCACACCACACCACCCGCAGCCCAGCCCAGCCCAGCCCAACCCACCCGTCCCCATCCCGTCCAAGCCCACCCCACACCACCCGACCCAATTCCATCCCCAGCCCACCCCAACCCAGACCACACCATCGATTCACCCCGCAGCCCAGCCCAGCCTAGCCCACCAGCCCTCACTTCAATCTACACACGAAATCTTTCCATTAGCCTACATCACTTGAAAAGGTCCTTCCCCTTGTACAAAGCGTATAATTTCTCAAGGATATCATTTCCAATTATGTGCAGTGCAACTCTGTGTACAACAATCACCGACACAGGTACAACTCAGTGATAGCACTGAAGTACATGTGTATTGTGCAATCGTTCACCGTCAAGGAAAAGCAGAATTGACGTTAAATTCGAACCGATTACGCATGGACAATAACTGTTTATTTACTTAGCATTACACGGACCGCTGTCATCAATCGAAGAGGGACAGACAGGGGACCAACACCCATAACGGACGGACAACACCCGTAGAGGGAAGTCCACTTCATTTCGAAAGTTTTGTTTATTGCTAGAAGACAAAGTTAGGACACCAATGGGCGATACCCGGTTTGGAATCGTGGGAACACAACTTACGCAAACGTATGTTGACATTTTAGCACGTCCTCAAAAAAAGTGTTCACCTGTACAATCCGTAAATTTCTGCGTCATAATAATTGAAGAACACTGCATTAGAAGATAGTTTTTATATGTCAACGGTAAATTTGCAATCCTGCCAAATGAAACAAACATTACCGTTTATCGATTTGGTAAGTTTGTGTCTGTCATGATTGGGGGAAGAGGAATCGTGTCTCATCACGTAAACGCTAAAAATAAATCGGGTCTATAAATTTAGTTAGTATTACCAGATTTTGGTCTGCCGTCTGCCCTGAGCGAATTCTTCCCAACTTTGGTCAATCTTTACGCGAAGTTTGGGGAGAAAAATGCAAAAAAAAAAAAGAAAAAAAGAATGGGGGTAATTTTTTTGTAAAGATTTATTGATATTTGTAATTTTTGATATGTCTACTAGGCTACACTTTCAAAGAAATATCATACAAGTCGAGGAATAAAAGTGTTTCTAAGGAAAAGCAATTGGGTTTTCACGACGACAAAACAGTCAAAAGGCCTTTTTTCAGTACTTCACTTGTTGATAATGCGAACTTTAAACAGCCATAACTTGTCAAAGGAATGTCCAACTGAAGTGGAATAAACAGTATTGTAAGGAGAATTTTATTCTCTTTCTTTATACTCGAGGACTAAAAGTATTTCTAAGGAAAAGCAATTGGGTTTTCACGACGACAAAACAGTCAAAACTTGAAAGGCCTTTTTCGCAGTATTTTACTTGTTGATAATGCGAACTCTAAACAGCCATAACTTGTCAAAGGAATGTCCAATTGAAGTGCAACAAACAGTTTTGTAAGGAGAATTTTATTCTCTTTCTTTTTAATCGCACACCCTCACTTCGACCTCTGCCCAGTTCAGTCTCATTTTGCAAGAACACCTCCCATATTACCCAACGGTTACCCCATTTTAAAACAAAATTGAGGGCAAAACTTTGTTGATCACTCCCTTGCTGGCCATGACTTTACAAGCAAAATTTGCAAATTATTGAAGTGTTCAGAGAGTGCAGCAAAGCAAGGGGGAAAATGCGTCTGTATCTTGCTACGAACTCTTGACAAATCAGCAACAAAGACGTCGACGGACGGAGTGTTTACATTTTTTTTACGTATCGCGAAAGTTCTCCGTGATATAGTCCAGGTTTTCATATAATAGACTATTCATTTTATGCTTGAGTCAGGTGGTATATATAGAAAATTGTTCAGGTGCCAAGATTTCAATAATTGATTGGAAGAATCAGGTGGATTACTGAGTCTACCTCGAAAGAAAATTGAACAGGGGGTGTACGTGCAGGCCTGCATGTTCACCGACGTTAAAGGGAATATACATCATTTGCTTTTGCTGTAATTTTCAGAAATGGAATTGGGGGGTTCGTAATATATAGCAAATATTGTTACAGTGACTTTTTTGAAGTTTTGGGTTCGAATATTCTATAAAAACCAAGAAAAACAATCATTTTCCTGTAGTCTGGTTCCCTGACTCCATTTAAGAAGAAACAGAGCAGTTTATGTACATTGGGGAATTGTAAGGTCAGGGAACCAGTCTAGCTGGCTTGTACCCGTTTATAGGTGTGTAATCGATTACAAACAAATGTGATGGTCAATTAGGGCCAGTATTTGATACAAAAAATACCACTTTTCTTGAAAATGACAGTACACCAGATGCCATGATTTTACAGGATGCTTTACACTGTCATTCACTAACAGTCAAACAAGGTATTTCAAAATAATTTGGTAGTTTTATTTTTGGATGTTTGCAAGTGTTGTATTTTCCCTTTAAGCATCGTAGTTTGCAAGAAGTTGTAAAAGCTTACGTCCTGAAATCCTGGAAAATTATGTCAAGTGTATTTTTCACCCCTTTGAATATTGCTCGATTTAAAGAAATCAACGAAATGTATTGTTTCGTTTTTCATTTATTATAGTGTGATTTAGCAGAATGTAAAATAAGACATCTGACGCATAGGTTTTCACTTTCAAATACATGTAGACTGTATTTTATTATACATGAAAATAACTTTCGTGGAACTGTTTTTACCTTGTAAAAATCGATACTTAAATAAACAAACTCTGATGTTTATTTGCGGAAACATGATACGAAGAAATAATACAATACTTTTTCGTATTTCAATGCACTATTATTAGCAGTACTATATGTACATGCACATACGCTTTTTGGGGAAGTCACTGGACCTGAAAATTTCAACCCACACTCAATAGATCCACTGCGCATGCGTTGCATCAGGCATGACCATATAAGGCGATCGTGGACGTTAACAATGAAAAGCTACGGACTATGTCATCACAGGGAACTCCCCTCCGATAAACCTGACGACTATTATGGGATGGCGTTCAAGCGTCCTCAATTTGTTCACCCACGTACGATCAATTGTTGAACTCATAAATCTAAAAAGGTTCAACTCAAACTTGATGAAGACTAATGCTACTTTGTGAAACTCAGTTTCTTGTAACCTGGGGAATGAATTTGCAAAATAGAGACCGGATATGATCATAACGCAAAATGTGCTATTTCAAAGGATTTCATGTTCTCAGAACGTCTATTTTTTAACACAGGATACGACGGTTTGGGGTTGTAAATTCCAGCAATTATGACAAACACCCGAACAAGCATTATGCGATGAGAAAAATGCTGATCCGATTCGTCTATACGAGTTCATTGAAGGATTACCTTATTGGGCTGAAAACATGAACATGGAAAACTTAACGTCATCTCATTTTCTCTTACTCTTAGGAGTAATAACTGCTGATATATCATCCGTTTCTTTTTCAGTAGATCCACAATCTCATAAGACTTTTTAAAAAAAACACCTCGTTTTAAGTCACACGTCGATTTAAACACTGATGTAACCCTACTGAAGACTCATTGGCCATGTACACTTAAAAGTTTTACAGGTTAACAATTTTGGCACTTTTTCCGTTTTCAGATCATGATTCCAACTCCGAGTGTAACTTAAACTACCGTGCGTGCACAGGTGGATTTGTCCCCGGGACTATGGCCTGGTTTCCCCGGGACTATGGCCTGGTTTCCCCGCGGCACGGTCAACCTGTCTGCCGCTCTTTGTTATTTAAATATCCAAGTCTAATATCGACAGCAGTTTATTTTTGGCAGTGCCTGATGTCATCTTCCAGGACTTAGAAAAGCATATAGGTTTGACACACGGGATAAAAAAATAATGACTTCATAGGTATAGTATTTTTAGAAATTTGGTAATAATATTTTTTTTAGAAAGGAAACTATAACTTTCTTATTGTTTACATGATCCGGTACAGCCTGTAACGGCTATACTTAACCTAGTTTTTAATTTTTCCCTGCAATTGAGAAGATTACGCAACGCCCATGGTCTTTTGGAGGAGGAAATTAAGTTTCCCAGACTATAGGACTGAGTATCTTTACGAATTAAATGCACAAATCTTACCTTAAACTTTACAAATACATAAAACTAGAAAGCACCCAGAGAGCTCAAACCTCTACAAGGCTAAACAATTCCTCGCCATATTGTCAGTACACCCAAAAGAACTGTATTCGCATAAATGGTGAAGAATGCTTCAAAAAAACCTGGAGATCCGGATCACTTCCAAAATCTAATCGATTTGTACTTGTACCAAGGACCACCCCTAAAAAATGTTCATGCAAATCCGTCCATATCTTTTTGAGTTATCTTGTTAAAACAGACAAACCAACCAATCAACCAACCAACCAACAAAATCCGATGAAAACATTAACCTCCTTGGTGGAGGTATAAAAATGAGTTATGTTAGGCCTACATATATTTCAGGAAACGGATGTTAAAACCAGAATCAGTTATACAATTTGAATCTTTTGACAAATCAATTATTATTGCAAAATGATATTTGATGTAAATATAGGAATCCTTATATGGCGATCTTTTTTATCACTATATTATTGTATGATTTCATTGCGGTGGTTTTACAGAGCGAAAACAACTTCAGGTGAACAAAACCAAACCTTTACCGGAGTATGACTGTGTGCATTAGTCATGTTGCACCTGCGCAACGGCATGGGAATCCCCCTTGTCCAATTGTATTTGTGAATATGACAAACATGTTTTAAGAAGTAAAAACTGAATGAAATCAACCCTCGGTCTTAAATAACATAGCATCTTAACCTTTTCTTTTATAGTCTAATAGTGAACTTTGAAATGGAATTGGATAAATTGATCAGAACGAAAACTTGTCCTTCTTGGTGAAGAAATTTAGGGCGTTAGAGATGACCGCTTAAGGCGTCCTGTTGTGCCAAGTTACCTGTTGAATAACAATGTGTAAAGTAATCAGCCCCATTTCTGTTAATCAAGGTTTGTTTCATGCGTATTTCTATTCAAAATTGTCCCTACGATTTACTGAAAACTTCGCGCAAATAAAGTTCAACTGTCACAAACAAACTATTACCGTAGCAACCATAAAAAATAACAAATAACAAAGACTGTCATGGTTAGTGAGCACCAAAAGCCTCGTCCACCATTCCCCGAGGGAAGTTTTCCCAAATTTTGTTGAATTCCGAGTTATAGTAAAAAAAAAAAATGACGGTTGCGCTTGGTTTGACAGATACGGTCAGTATCTGTCAATGAAAAAACGGTCAGTGAAAAAAAACCTCCACAAAAGTTTTCCAAGTACCACCTAACCTTCAATGTGGTCTGTATTCAACAATGTAACTGGTGTGTCGATAAGGCACTCTTGTTACATAAGATGAGAGGTACTTAACAGATGGAGTGGGTGAAATCCTCGAAGAATTCGAGTCTGCCAACACTGTACAATCAGTGTTGAAGCCCTGGTTATACGGTTCAGTTTGGGAATACTTCTGACTATTATATAATCATGGTCATGTTGACCATTTCTTTTATCTCTGGTGCGGTGTTGAAAGAAACGGGGGAAAGATGTCAATCGATCAAGTGCGGAATCGTTCTTCACGTTTGCGATTGTGAATGTCGGACTGCAACTAAATTAAGGCTATGACGTAATGGTTCCATCGTCTTGTCTCTTCATCGGTGCATCATGTGATCTGAAGATGTCACTTTTTAAGCCTGGTTCTTGCCGATGTTTTCTCAGTTTGAAATAACTGCGTACATGTTAAAATGACACAAAGTTTTAAAACTGTTCCAGTTTTAATTCGTACGAGTACAGTGCGTGGTTCTAATAATTCGACATTTCAAATGGCAGGATACACGTCACTTTTTACGATAGTACACAACTTTCATATACAAACTCTCATATCCTATCTGATCCCCTCTTAGTAAAAAGCTGCCACCAAAATCAGCCAATGTATATGACGATCAGGGCAGACCGAGATGACACATCTCTAATCATGTTCTTCGCACTCTGAATCGATTGTCTCGTTCAGTGTCTGCAATTCATTTCAAGATATGCACATTCCTCCTCGTCATGACACACACCCCAAGTCACAGACATGAACCTACACAACTCAAATTTGTTCAATGGATCGACGGGTAGTCAAGCCCTTAACTATTCATAATGAACGGGCAAATATCATTTGAATGGATCAATGTAGTACGGTCATCTTATGACACACCGTGGATCAACGGGCTTCGTTCTCTGTGGGTCCATTGAGAAAGTTGAGTGTACCAACAACAAGGGGGTACGAAATGGACCCCTCTACTTACAAAAGAGGTACATGGAGGGTGCATTATGGAGGGACACATACAGTAGGGGCATATTATTTTCTAAGCTTTGGACTGTGATCTCCGAAGATAATCACTTCAACCGAAGTCCTGAACGACTTGAAGATACTCCAATGTACCTGTTGTAAAACTGCAACCCCAACAGTTTTCCCGTTGAATCTGTCATTTTAAAGCATTCGCAAAGTAATAATACTATTTACGTGTACAAAAGATATTACCTGCAAGCAAAGTTTTTTAATAAGGTAAAGTTCAAATTTTGAACAAGATTTCGAGAGAAACCCCCCCCCCCACCTTTTTGACTCATTTTTTTTTCGAGGGATTGCCTCAACGTCAGCCGCCACAAACCCGGACCTTTCCCAAAGATTCGCCACTATATGATGTAATTACCCGCACGCAGGTGCATGGTTTCCGTCCGGACATCATTTCAGTGGAATGAAGATGTTGTAAAAGTTATCTCACCTTGAAACCGCAAAGGGGATTTTTTTTTATCAGCCATGATGAAATTGCCTAGTTAGTGGTCAAAAAAAAAAAAAACCATGGTAATATAAGTCATCGTTGTGGTTAGTTCCAATAAATTTTTGGATTCTTCTCACTTCCGTGATAATTGGTAAAACTTGAGTTGACACCTGTTCATAAAATATACCATCAAATAAATCACAGTCACAATTTTATAGTGGAGATCGATTGTGGTTCTCTCCTTCCCGGTATGATTCCGTTAAATAAACAGGGAATAGTTGGAAATGAAGAAAAAACACATCTGGGATTTGGGGAAATGCTGAAACCTTCTGTCCTCCAGTCAATACCAAGGTCGAGAACGGATGTCCTGTGGACGGTCTCCCTGCGTCCTTTTTTTCCTTTTTTTGGGGGGGTTTAATATTCAGAAAAATTAATCCAGGAGAAACACAAATGGGATTAGTATTGAAATTACATAGCTCCGCTCACCGTATATGCGAAGAACTTCGCTTACTTGGCCAGAAAAATATACGAATTTAATTAATGGTGTAAACAAGGATTTTGGCTAATTAGTGCGCATGCGTTCATACCGTGGCTAAATATTATTTTCGTTTACTCATAAGATGATTAACACATGTATTTGAAAGAAAAATCTTTGCTTAGTATGGACCCTATACTCAATTCTGTTTGTACTTGTAGCAAGTCTGGGTAATATGAATCGGTCAAGTTGCTGAGATGACCACCAGGCTGGCCACAATGGACACCAGCACCATTGTCCAAGTGGTCATCACCCAGGAATGTCCGACCAGGGGACTACGGGTCACTGGACTCCATTGCGAGGCTTAACTGGCTTGAATTATTCATGGTGAGACAAAGCAAGTAACGCCCTTGAAAAACTGATTACCTATACCATGGGTTTAAATGTTAATTGACACTACACACAACTTTGATTAGATCCATACTTAAAATGTTTGGCAAAGTGTACCGATATGTTGGCCCAGGTAACCGCATCGACTGAAAACATAGAAATCTTCAAATCTTCTGAATTTTACTTAGGTATGCGTTTTTTATTTAAAATTTCAAACAATTTGGCAAAAATGATTTGGGATTTGTAAATTGCTAAAATCGCACAGAATTGCGAAAAATAGTATAATGACCGGTCACCCCAAAATTTCTACCTGTTAGCCTTTACCCATCCTTGGTTTGGGCATCATTTAATAATGGCCAAATACACCTGTTAAGCTTTCACACAGCTAACCTTTTTCATGGTTATTGCAGTTTTTTTCAAGGAATCTGCATACAAAGAAACTTCATAAAAACAGTTTCTGCTAAAAATCTGCGGTTGCTCCGATTCAGAATTTGTGTTTGTAACGAGATTGTGGGAAGTTGAGTTTGGAGAGAAAAAAATAACAGTTGAAAAGGTTCGCCATCACTGGACCGCGACCACCCTCACCCAAACCGCCCACACCCGTCCATAAAGTGGACGATCCCACCACCCTATTCCCACACTATACGACTCACCTATGACAGGGTGTAGCTATTGTTAGAAATCAACAGGTATACACAGTGGTCATTGTTATGCAAATACGGCCGTTTCGTCACCGCCGTTTGAGGAAGTCCCTTTAAAAACCGTCGCCTCATCGTCCACAGGGCAAATAGTTTTGAAATCGTCTGGAGCGATAGTCGTTTGTACCCTGCTGGCTCGGGTGTACAACTAGAAATCTACGAAATTTATAGAATCACAGTGGTGAATTCAGCATTTTGAAGTTATTTTATTCTCAGAGAAACTTTTTAAAAGATCATTCTACGGAGTGAAGAAGAGAGAAAGATGTTCTTCTCGGGGTTCGTTTTATTTAGTGTGCTCTTTGCATGTGCCAACGTCCATGGTCGGTCTCTGGTAAGTGTTCCTGATTGCAATTAATTGATTTTTTTCCCCGTGTAAAATATGTTTCTCCGAGGAACGGAATACAGTTCTTCAAAATTTTAAAATCGAGAAAGACGCATACTTCTACAGTACAGCTTTGTTGGTACATGTAGTCTCATTTTATTCCGACTAATCACAAATGAGATGTGTGTATTCATGTACAGTGTGGTACATCATATATTGTTATTATATCTTATCACTTTTCCAGATTTCATATAGTCTGTCCATCCATTCTCCAATCTAAGAATAGGTACTTCACTGGATTCACATGAATTCGGTGTATTTTGGAAAATATTTCAGTTCGTTATTGTGGTTATACCTACCTTGTATGAAAGTAATTTTTAAAATCAGGGGATTTTTTTAAGTCATTTTTAAAATCAGTGTTTGTTAAAAAGAAACTGTGGTTCATATGAGAGAATCCTTATAAATACACACGATGTCCATACTTTGTGGAATTTTAAGGAGATTACGTTTTGAATGGTCAATGACAAGCTTTTGTTATTGTTATATCAAAATGTCAGCCAAGATGTCACAATAAGTCAAAGCTTATAGTCTTATGTAGTGTTGTGACAATCTTTTTTTCTGCGGCATAACCATGGAGCTGTAGTTCTACGGCATGATAACAAAGCGTAACGTCTCAAGGTCCGAGGCAAACATCCCCCACCATCGACCAATTAGGGCCTACGGGGTACATACCACAGGGACGAACGGTGTATAAGGGCCTATGGTTGGAAGGGCACGGTGGCAGTTTCTTGTAAAAGCCTTGAGTATTATATCCCATCACGACCGCTTCATGCAACAATAATTGGGCAATAAAATAATGGGTGTGCCTTCTGAAATTCACACCCTCTTTCACGATACTCTAAAATATGAGAGCAACGTGAAGGAAACATTGTTTGTCTAAGATTGAGCATTAAGAGTGACTAAACATTGGCGACGCGGTTTACGCTAACGTCATTCAAAATGCATCACGAGCGATAATAATGTGACTTAAAATCGAAGCGCAAAGGGCACTGGATTATAAGAGGGGTTTGGGACGTGACGAGGGTCCATTGGCGAATGGCCCAATTGAACTAATGGCCTCGACTTGATAAAGTCGCAGGTAGCAGCGAAAAGCTTCTCAGCAACTTGTGATCCGATGTAGGACGATTCTGAAGTCTTAATCGTTTCTCTGAAAGATGATGAGTTGGTGACACAAGATCATGATGTTGTTACGGTGTTTGTGTTTCCATATTAAAGAGGTCGACTTGTCTCTAAATCAGTCCTCTACTTTACTTTGATTTTTTTAACAAGTTTGTGTTTGCCGTCGTCTTTTATCTTGTCCATTCGCGTATCTGTGAGAATCAAAATTGTAAATTTGATCAAATTCCTTTGCCGGTTTATACCAACCGTTAAATGTTCGTTTATATCGTCCAAAAAGCACGCAAAGCACCGTGTCCTTTCATAATTGGGTCTACTATAAGACCCTCCCCATAATTGAGTGTTGAGTTTACTGAGTGACTCACTATATTAATAATAATAATTCAATCTGTTTACTAAGATGACTGGGTTTTTACGTAACCGGCCATGTACATGTACTCCTTGCTTAACCGTTACGAGCGTATATAGGCCTACCGGTTTTCAGTTCACCGATCAATAATCATGAATTGCTCTCTGCCAAACGTGATGTCGGGTTTGTTAAGGCAGTCAGTGTCCATGATAGGACACTCACCCCTTCGGGCGGTATACCCTTGCGATTCCCTGCACAAATAAATCATAACAAAATCGCGGATTAGGGCTTTTGAAATTCCCAGTTAACGTGACTTTTGTTGAGGTGTTCTGACCTTAAACGGGACACTGGTCGCTGGGGGCCGGGATAAGCAGGGCTGTCGCATGAGGCATTATATATATCTCTGCTGACATGAATTCTTTGCGGGGTTTCTGCTTTAGAAGCCACGAAAAGATGCAAAAGATGCGGGTCACTTCGGTTAAATCTCTTCACCTCGAATTTCAGGTGTTTTTTGAAAATTGATTGGCAAAATAATTTGAAAAGTTTCACTGGAGTTCGTGTCATTGTCACGAACATCGCGTGTCGCCAACTTCAATGGCTTCACTTCCAATTACTGACCGAACGGCGTGCAAAATACCAAATTAATGAGATCTGGTATCAAGTTCAATTTTGAACGATTATACCATCTCAATTGGAACTTGTAATGATGAAGCTCAGGTTGAACTTTCTTAAATTAGATCTTTTATAGAGAAAATATCGGGTATCTGTGGCTGAGGATAATCCTTAGTGCTAAAGAAAACGAACATATCATTCCTACAGTTCACGGTTATCTTGCAATTGCAAACAACCAACAAAGTAACTAAACTTGATCAAAACAGTCTGTTTTCGAAGGCGCCCATAAAGTCACAAAAAAAATCGTTCTTTTGTAATCGGGCAACAGAATTAAGCTTAGAATAGGGGGAAAGAGGGGAAATATTTTGCTCGCTCAAGTCTTATAACAATGAGTCACGCATGCCTGATGCACTCCGTGCGTGACTTATTCTCGAAAAACAAAGTCTGAAAACAGGTTGGTGGTGGGGGTGGTTTGAGGTTTGCAATTCTCAACTCAATAGAAATGGTTCTGCTCCGTTAGACAGTTCGATACGGCTTAGGATCCTTGCACATGAGAAAACGTTAAAGCGGGTTTCGCATGAAGACTTCACTATTAAAACCATGGTCTTTTGTAGCAGCCAAGCAGTCTTCACGATTCTTTTCTACAATAGGCCATAACCGCAACTTTTAACCACTCATAAGTCAAACCATCCATTTCAATGAAATTCACCCACGGCACGGCGCCGATAACAGTTCTTTTGAGAGTTTTCATAAAGTTTTTCTATACGAAGACCCAGACTTTATTGTTAACAATAAACTCATAAACATTTGAAGTGGTATTGATAGCGTTGTTTGTTCGCAACTTTGGAAGAGAGTGGCCTCGACTGGAATATAAAATAAAGAACTTGCATAAAGAATGTACCTAGCTTTGAAGAAGGAAAAAAAAGGTGATACCACGCTTGCAAAACTTCATATTTTATGATATTACCGAAAGCCTAACTACTGGTTCAATTGCATATTTGTGTGATCGTTGTTTGATTTTCAGGACTCGGATTTAATATCACCTGAAGATGCCGATTACTACCTAGGAGCTTCCTCGACTTCAAAAAGTGAGTCATTTATCAATTCATTAGCATGTTTTCAAAATAATCTAAAATAGGCCTGCTTGTGTTTGTTTTTTTTTCGGGGAAAAATGTTCTTATTGTATATCTGTTTCCTATCATTGCAGTGCAAGAATTCGAAGTCGTCAGTCCTTGGGAGGTTGAAAACTCGAGGAAAAAGAGGGAGGCCGATAATCCATTTGACATTTCTGAATTTAAATTCAGCGCCTTTGGCGAGGAGTTCCACCTTCAACTCACCACCAACCGGCAGCTGACGCCCAAGGGACTCAAAGTACACTACGTGGACGCAGACGGTAACGTTGAAGAGCGACCTCTACCGTCAGAACACGACACCTGCTACAAATTTGGCAGGGTTTTGTCACACGAGGGCGCTAGTCGAGTTGCTGTCAGCACTTGCAACAATGGTTTGGTAAGTGTGCCCAGTAAATTTATTTTGAAAAATCCGAATTTCGTTCAATTTTTTTCAGAGTTTGTGATTAGAATTTAGATACAAAGAAATGTTGTTTTCTTGATTTGGACACCCGATCAGTATCGATAGACAGTCAATTGAATTAATTATTCACTCACACAAAATGTTAATTGCTATTGCATTACCATGGCAACGGTACTATTAATTACAAAGTTTGATTGATTCAATTGATTTTAGGCTGGTATCATCAAGTTGGAAGGCTACGAATTATTCATCCAGAAACTGACCGACGATCACACTGACTCCGTCCGTAGAAAGAGACGCGATTTGGAGAACCCTCACATTGTTTACCGCCGATCAGCTGACGATGATGTCATCGAGGATACCGAGAACGGAGACAACGAGACGGATGTTCACTTCTGTGGACTGGAACGTAAGTCGATCACAGCTGGTCAATGGCCAGTCTTTTCGTCTTTGACTGACTGAGTCACTGACTAACGGACAGAGTCACTGACTCAAATTTTAAAAATTCACATTCAAACTTCAAGCAGGTATGAACACCACATTGCCACATAAACAAATTTCCGTTCTGTTTGGCTCGACTAGGTCCTTACTACCACTTCATGGAAGATCAGGCTGATATGGAGCTCCCGGGCGAAGACGACGAAGCAAGGAGGAGGAAGAGAGAAGCCTGCAGCGATGGATCGACGATTGGAACCAAGACATTGGAACTTCTTCTTGTCATCGACTCCGAGATGAACTCCGTTCACTCCTCCATGGGGCGTAGTGCGACCGATGTTGCCCTGGCACTCATGAACACCGTAAGATATCTCAGACGTGAATTATGACCCAGTTAATCAAAGTGTGTCACAATTACGTCGAATCTCCAGGCAATGAGAATAGAATATAAGAAAGTGGTTCAGGATCGACATGACCTCATTTCTATCCGCACAGGTACCCATGTCAAAATGAAGAGAAGAAATTGTGGTAAAATGCCCTGCTTAGGAACACCAACCCAAATTGTGAAGATCCTTATTTCAACTTTCTATCATGACACCGATGACACAAAAACTGTGCATCATCAAAGTTGTTTTTCCTGTTTGATTATAGGTTGCCAGTAGTTATTTGCATGATTCGCTCGGTGTTCCTCTCATCATCAAGATTGTTCAGATGCGGGTTCTCCAAAGCACAACTGTAAGTAACTCAGGAAATATTACTCAATAAACCTTATTCTATCTTCTAAATCAGAACCTCGTTCTCACCTCATTCTAAATTTCTTACAATCACATCAGATTTTGAATTTCTATTACCATTGTGATCAAAAACAAAGTGCCCAAAAACATTTTCATTTGTAAATATTAAAATGTATTTGGTGTCATCATACAACCAGAAGCTGTGTTTCGTTTGGGTTTTGCCAACTAAACGAGAATGTTTTTCAGCTGAGTTGTATCTGTTTTGTTTTCGTCAGACTTCTTACGGAACCGGCACGCTGACCGTTACGGCTGACGGAGGAACCACATTAACCAGTTTTTGCAAGTACCAAAAAGCCATCAACAGTGTGGATGAAAACAGCTTGAACCACTTCGACAACGCGGTGCTGATGTCTGGGTACGGAGATAGGAAGATATACCAGCTATTTTTAGATGATAAATAAAACAGTCGCAGACAGTCAACATATCAATCCTCTTCCCCTGCTATGCCTTTCACACAGGCTAGTCACGAACAGTCAGATCATATTTCAAGCAAGGACTGTGACTAGTCACATTCAGTCAACAGACAAAAGCAGGCAAGAAGTATGCACAGCTGGCTTATCAATCGCCTACAGTCAAAGCATAGCTGTACCAAGTTACATAAACAGTCACAGCCAGTCAATCCTGCCTTATGTCAGCTATGGGAGCTCTTAACTGTTGAAAACAGTCACTTGGTCGCTTTGAAACTACATGTAGTGGAAGGACAACTTGGCACAGAATGTATGTTTGCATAGTAAGGTTAAAATATGTTGCATTTCATTTTTTTCTTTATGAATTTGAGATATGGTTGCCTGTATTTTCCCATAACTGATGAAGGTAATGGTAACAGTTCCTAAAGGCAAGCAAGCTCTTTAAATTAAAAAAAAAATTGTAAAGCATACAAATTGGAAAGTTGACTAGCCACAAAGATGCGGCTGCTGATTTTAAGACGGACATTGTTCCTTCTCTCGACAGATACGACTTGACTCTACAAGGCAGCAGTTCTCTTCTTGGAATCGCTCAGTTCAACGGGGCCTGTAGCAGAGACTACGCATGCGCTCTGGTGGAGGAATCGGGCTTCGGGTCCAGTGTGGTCATCACTCACGAACTGGGACATAAGTGAGTTTGTATTCCTTTGCTCATTCTTGCCAGAGGGTTTTATTTCGCTAATTGTTTCCTCTACGAGTTTAGAATTTGCAAGAATAATGTTGTAGAGTGGCCCAAAACTGTATCTGAACTGGAGATCTTGTGATTGACATGACTACAATAAAGTTGATACGGACCAATGGGGTAAAGAATTCTCAATCTGTGATTGTGGATTGTTGAATTTTTCTTTTGAGTAATCAACCTTTATAGTGGGGAGTGTGGCCTAGTGGTTAGGGTTCGTAACTCATGATCAGAGCGTCAGGGGTTCAAATCCAGCTGCTGGCCACACGTTGTGTTCTTGGGCAAGCCACTTCATCCCTACTTGCCTCTCTCCACCCAGGAGTATAAATGGGTACCGGCATTAGCTGGGGAGTAACCTGCGATGGACTGGCATCCCATCCAGGGGGAACAGAAATATTTTCAGTCGTTTTGCGCTACTGAAATCAGATACAAATGCCCTGATGGGCCACATTGGCTCGTGACAGACTTGACTTTTCTTACTTTAAAGCAAAAAGTGTTAACGTTTTTCTTACCTTGATTTTCCTCTGTACAGCCTGGGTATGGAACACGATGGCGATGGACGATTCTCCGATATTGCTTCAGCTTGCACCAATGGAGTCAACATAATGGCCTCAGCCAGGACCTATGGGCCCAACTCCTTCATCTGGTCATCGTGCAGCGCACAGCAACTCCAAAATTTCCTCTGGTGAGTCCTGAAAGCTCCAAAAATACATAAAAAGGATAACGAGAACAGTAGTACAATGTAGGGGGAAAATGTACATTATTACATAAAAGCCTTAGTTTATGGACGTAATTTTTAGTCGGTTGGTCGGTCAGTCAGTCCGTAATTAAATCAGTCAGATGTCCAGAAAAAGTAAATGTAAGAAGCAGAACTTTTTTTTCAGTTGCTCGTTATGGGATTTATGATGTATTGATTGCCATGGCAACAATTGATTGTCGGCCAATCAGAATGTGAGCGGTATTTTTTTTAATGATTGTTTTGTTTTTCTTGTAGCCACCCTTTTGTGACATGTCTTGACGACAGTTCACCGAGTGGCAACCCCCATCCCTTGGATCCTAACGATATGCCCGGCGTCCGGTACACGGCCGATGAACAATGTCGGGTTATCAACAGTCTAACCACACAGACATGCTCTAGGAGCACGGTTAGTACAAATACAACCTCGTAGTTTTGGCTAGCAAGAAATATGACTCGCTTACCAAATAATGAAACGAAAACTGTCACTTTTCATTGATTTAAAACGATATGGATTGAAGAGGATTTTTCATTTTGCGTTTATGTAGTGTGGTCATTTGGCGTGCCTACACCCTAATGGTCAGTGCGTTGGGACGGGCGTGGCTTCGTTGGATGGCACATCGTGTGGAACAAACAGGGTAAGAATAATCAGTACCAATTTTTCAAAATTGATGTTTGACATAAAATGTTACTCTAGGAATTCAATATTTATATCGTGATGACATATCTTCACCTAACGCGCGCTCCAACACTGTGAAGTTTTTATGAATTCTTAATGCCATAAATACGATGTTAAACAATGTAATACAGTGTGCTAATGTGTTTATCGTTTACATTAATAGAATAGAATGTAATAGAAATTACATTATACAAAATAACATTGTCAACTTGTAATACTGTGTAAAAGGGGACGAACCTGTGTTCACAGGAACGGAGTGCCCATCTCTCTTTCGAAGCAAATGGGCCAGATTCAAGTCCATGAAATGCTGCTGTGGGGGGGGGGGGGGGATCGCCACACCTCCTCCACAGCGAGTCTGTTAATACCTTCCCAGCATTGAATAATGCCGGTACCCATTTAACACCTGGGTTGAGAGGAGTAATTGAGGTAAAGCGCCTTACTCAAGGGCACAACACGCATGGCCATGGCGGGGCTCGAACCCACAACCTCTCGATCACGAATCCTGTGCTCCAGCGCTAGACCACACGTGACCATTGCAGTAAAATGGTAATATTGTGTAAACTCTTTTTTAAGTAGATCATAGCTGACGACAAATTGTTGATTTTTGATTCCCAGTGGTGCGTTGAAGGAAACTGTGTGGATGTAACAACGGTCAATCCACCTCCAGGTCAACCACCAGTGGATGGGGGATGGTCAGCCTGGACGACTGGTCCGTGTTCGGTCACTTGTGGTCAAGGTGTCCAAAGCAGAACCAGGCAGTGCAACAACCCACCGTAAGTGGATTCCAGGTCACAACATTGAATCATTGGAATCAAACTGTTTTTTTTTTCCCGTTGGAGCTTGCTTTTTGTTTTAAGACGGATACATTTTTTTGCCGGACCTCATTTGATCATTATTGACAAACAAGTTGTGTTTATTTAACAATTGTCCCATCAAACATGTGTCAAACAGTAAGTAAATTGATAATTATGTTCACAGAGTAGGGAATTCATGGCTTCTTTTTGCTAATTTCTCGTAGGCCACAAAACGGAGGTCAACAGTGTTCTGGGAGTTCAACGGATACTTTAACCTGCTTCCAAGAGGTACAGAATGCAACTTGAGTTTATAAGAAAAACTTAGAAGGACAATTTGTCGACAACTAATTTGTATGTATAAATGTAGAGAATCCATATTTTCATATTGATCATTAATAATTTTTAAAATTTACATCTACTGTGCTTGGTTGTTGTGGTGATACAAACATTGGGTTTTTCAGTCATATTGAAATATTACAAATCATTTTAATTATTTTTTTTGTTTTTGGTTAAGGCATGTCCTGTTTCTGTGAATGGTGGTTGGTCGCCGTGGTCACCGTTTGGAGCATGCTCAGTGACGTGCGGCGGCGGGCAGCGGACGAGAACTAGAACCTGCACCAACCCGACGTGAGTGCAAAAGTTTTGCCGAAAAATCAAACTTAATCAAGTAATCTATGTTTTTAAAAGTAATCTATGTGTTATTGGGTTTTTTTTGGGCAACTTTGTATCATTTTATAAATGAATGAATTTGTCTCAATTTTTAATTTTTGGTTTAAACTAATGAAATTTTTTTTTAACTCTGTATTCTATTAAGGTTTGTTGTCATATTTGATGCCATGTGTAAAGTGAACCAAATTTCATGTTAAGTAAAATTATTCTTCGTTTTGTGTCAGTCCTCAGAATGGTGGTCTACCGTGCTTTGGATCAGGAACTAGCAGTCAAGTTTGCAACACACAGGTAAAGCCAAACTTACATTTTCATCTAAAACATTTTGACATTTTTTTTTAAGGTGGTTTTGTGAATTAGAAGATGTGCTTATTTGCCCCTTCAGTAAATCGTTTGTGTCATTTCTATCAGGCATGTCCCGTTGTTATTAATGGAGGCTGGTCGTCGTATCAATTTGACGGACCTTGCTCAGCGACGTGTGGTGGTGGACAACAAACGCTGAGAAGAACGTGCGATAATCCTCGGTAAGCATCTATAATTTGTGGTTATTTCATTTACAGACCAAAAAAAAAAAGTATCATCTTTAGGGAGTCAGTAATCGGAGGAATTTTAGAGTCAATAGCTATCCCTAACAGTCCTGAATCCTCCAATTTTTTTACCCAAAACTCATTGTAGTTGTGTACACTACATTAACCCTATAACCCTAGGCCCTTTTTGCTGGGGATCATCCTCAATCCTCCAAAATCCTCCAAAATTTTGCACTTTTCTTCAAATGAAGGATACCCAGCACCTCAATCCTTCAAAATCGTCAGACCGTCCTGCCTCTCAAACTGCATTCATCCTCAAACCTGAAAATCCTCCTCCTTTTCAAATACCATTCATCCTCAATCCTCGAAACTCCTCCAAAACCGCCAGGAGGATTTTGGAGCATTGAGGGGGGTAAGGATTAAGCTATCTTTCAAAGTACACATTGACTCTTTGATTTGATTTGATTTGATTTGATTTGATTTGATCTGATTTTAATGACGTACGTCATTTGTAACCCCAAAAACACATTTTTGAGATTTTGGTTTCTTTTTTGTCAGTCCCCAGAATGGTGGAGCTAATTGCGTGGGAAGCAACGTTCAAATTATCAACTGTAACACGCAGGTAGGTCAACGTTACATTGTTAGTGGATGTATTTCAAGGTTTTTATAAACAAATATTTCCCTTTTACTGCTCATTCATTTGTTAAAAAAAAAAAAAAAAATAATGAAATTTTGTTTTCCGACTCAAAGGAGTGTCTTAGTGTTGTGGATGGAGGCTGGTCGTCATGGCAAAACCAAGGTTCTTGTTCTAGAACTTGCGGCGGCGGACAGCAGACGCAGATCAGATACTGTACCAACCCTGTGTAAGTTCTCTGTCGATCTTTCGTTCTTTGTCGGAAAAGAACATAAAAAAGACTCCCAACTCAAAATAACTATCCTGAATTGAATCATATTCCAACACTTTAGTTATTAACAGATCTGCGTTTTCCTTTCACTAAACGTTGATTTCTTTTTCAGTAAGCATGGATTCTCTGGTTACGGTTTGCAAAGTTAAAAATGAGTTCTCTGTTGAATTGGGTTCCTAGATTCATAGAAGGGTTCTGAGATAACTGCCATACTGACTTGTCATTTCTTGTTTGTCCAGTCCCCAGAATGGAGGTGCTTACTGTGTTGGGAGCAGCACTCAGACCATCAACTGTAACACACAGGTAAGGTTGCAATTCTTGCTTATCCCTAACTCCCTAGGCCTTTGTGCTAGGATGTAGCCTCAATCCTGCAAAATCCTCCAATTGGCCTCATGGAAAAATAGCATATAGCCTCAATCCTGCAAATTCCTCCGTTATTTCTTGAATATGGTCCATGGAAGGGTGACCACTGCCTGAATCCTGCCAAAATCTTCCAGCTATGACTGTCAATAGGCTGAGCCAGAGGCAGTGACATCCTGGAGCAGTGCGGAGGATTTCAAGTATAATCACGGACTAAATTTATGCACGGCTGAGCATTAACAACACAAGGTCCGGCCCAAGACCTTGACACAGTGCATACTCCGAAATCAGCAACACAATTTTGCCACGTAACCTCAATCCTGCAAATTCCTCCAATTTGCAAAAAGGATTTGAGATGGTTAGGGTTAATTAAAGCAAAAATCAATAAAACGCTGCTACACTGTAATGTGCACATCCCCTTGTGATCCTGATGTGCTGTATACAAGGCATTTCACAATTTGAATCATTTAGGACCATTCTACAACATTCTTTTTTTTTAGTTCACATGTTGGTCATTATCATATGATATAGCCAGCGGATCATTTTATCCAGCGATGTAGAATGTCTTTCAAAAAGTGTCTCTTTTTTTCACAATAAATACGTGTCCATTTTTTTTGGTGCCATCCACAGAGCTGTCCTAGCGTTGTGAATGGCGGCTGGTCGTCATGGCAAAACCAAGGTTCTTGTTCTAGAACTTGTGGCGGCGGACAGCAGACGCAGTATAGATACTGTAACAACCCTGTGTAAGTTCTCTGTCTTGTCAGAAAAAAAAGAACCGAATTGGGACTTTTCGTTAATCTGGTCTCTTGTCTGAACACTTTAAATAGCCTCACACACCTCAGTGAGTTTTCATGTGAAATTGTATTTCATGAGAGTTTTAAGTTGTGTGATGATCTTGAACAATAAGAAAGACAAAAAGACAGCGTGGAAGTCCAAGAAACTAAAAGACAGATTATATATATGTGATGCAAATGTGGAGTAACAGAAAATCAGTTCTAATTTTAATATTTTTTTTTCAGGCCACAAAATGGCGGCGCTTATTGCTCAGGAAATAGCTACCAAGTTGCAGACTGCAATGTGCAGGTAATGTTATTTAAATATTTCAGAAGTATTTGGAAAAATTGCAACATATTGTTCCTGCCCTATTTTGCATCTGGAACGGGAATTTTACTCATAGCACAGACATTTTGAGGGACAAGTTAAAAATAATAATAATAATAATAATAATAATAAACAGTTCTAATATAGCGCATAATACAATTAAGTCTCTATCAAAATAGATATACTGTACAAGGTTCAAATTCATTTTAGAAACTTCAGTGGGTCTTCGATGAAAACGAAGCTGGGATTTCAAAAATAGTTCCTCTGCATTATTTTGGTGGAGTTGTCATTTTGCAATTGCCCTGTAAAAGACCGTTATCATGCTGCCACCATTTCAGTCATGTTCCCTTTATCCAATAACAGTACTGAATGATAATATTTTTTGTGTGCAAAAGGAACCAGACTATTTTTCCTTCCAACCTCGCTTTGGTAACGTTGATTTGACTGGAAAAAAAAAAATCAAGATGGCCGCGACATAATAATGGTCTATTCTTTAGCCAAGTACATGTAGGTATGATTTTTATCATGTAGTTCATGTTTTATTGCTTTTTAGGCCTGTGGTACCGATGGTGGGTGGTCTAACTGGGGTGAATACAGCGCATGCTCAGTGTCATGTGGTTACGGCCACAGGTCTCGTTATCGGACTTGCACCAATCCAGCGTAAGTCTCATATAGTAACCCAGATTGATAGTATCTAGTACTACCGGTACTAATCTTATTCATACTCTTACTATTTTTAGTACATTTTTTTCACATACATATGCATACTCACAAGAAAAGAACTACCTGTGCCCTTACTCATACTCGAGACAAAGTACTCGTACTTGTACTCAAACTCATAAAAATGTTGAAATCCTTCTTGTACTCACACGGCGAGATACTTATACTTAGACTCCAGGAAATGTTCAGGGTGGTCCAAAAACAAAATTAATTACAAAATGGCGATTGTTTATCGCAGAGAATATCTGCACGTAGAGAACTGCAATAATTGCAATTAGGTCTACATGACTGCCGTAGACGCGGACAAACTAGTTTTGGACCATTTTTTTCTGTAAATGGCTGCTATTTCTTAACTTGAGCTTTATTTTCAACACCATTTTCACCTTACACCACCAAGATCTTGTAGTTTAGGAATATCTTAAAACAACTTCAACATGTCTCTTCAATTTTGAGAAGTCTGCCTCTGAACAAGTGTATATTTTTTTTGGACCAACCTGTACTCAACCGCAGCACTGTAATAAGTAACTGTAGCTATTGAAGTCGACAAGACGAAGCAAGACAGAGAAAAAAGAGTAAATATTGCAACAAATTTCAAGAAATTGAAATTTTTTTCTATTTTTGTTTTTGCCAGTCCCCAGTCTGGTGGTGCTTCTTGTTCAGGACCCAATTATCAATCTTCGCAATGTGGAAACGGACAGGTAGGCTGAGATTTCACAAATGTACATTTTGAGAAAAAAAAAAAACTATTGTGATTGTTAATGATTTTGTTGGTTCTTTCTGAAAATGATCAAAGTATTTTTTTGGAGGGGTTGAGATCTTATATTACATCACAATCAGTTTACAATATTTGTCCTGTTTCATGTACATAATCTGTTTTGACCGTTTCAGTTCTGTCCGGTCAGTGGCGGTTGGTCAGCATGGTCAGCATATAGTCCCTGCTCAGTGACCTGTGGAAATGGACAGACCACACGGACCCGTACTTGCACCAATCCAGCGTAAGTGTCAAACTGTGTCAAGAGACAAATTTCTTATTTTTTAACAGATAACAAAAAATTGAATAGCATTTTATGTGCATGTATTTGCTGACCATAAATTAGTAGTTGGAATAATATGTTTTTCATTAAAGAATTATTGCTATTTCCTGTCCCGAAATTCTGACCGATGATTCAAACCTCAAAATATTCAGGGGCCAATTTCGAGAGCTGCTTAACATGGATTTCTACTTAGCTCAGAAGATATTAGCTTAGCAAAAAAAAAATAGGGCACCAGCCAAAATCTCATGTCATGTTATTACTGTTAACCGGTGCCCTGCAAATTTCAGCTACACACCGAATTTCATTATGCACAGAGTACTTTGTGAAATGGGCCCAGATGTATTTAGTGGAGAGAAAACTCTGAGCTTGTGCAATGGCTGGAGTATTGATAATTTTGTCTTTAATTAAATTTTGTTCTCAATCCTTTTTGTTGTCTAGTCCCCAGAATGGAGGACAGACTTGCACCGGTTCCAGCACCGAGTACCAGCAGTGTAGCAACTCACTGGTAGGCTCAATACTCCGATAGCCACAATGAAATTGTGATCAATGGTGTCATTTTTTTAATAAACAAAAGTCCATGATTTATTGAGTAAATGTTAAAATCGCAAGAATAAAAATAGTTGACGTAGATGTCTGGTCTGTCTTCATACTATAAACAAGATGACTCAATTTCTCCCATGGTTTGGATAGACTTGCATCTACACATAATTGAGAAAAGTTGTAGTTGCAGACAAATTGCCCGATTTTTGACGAGCCCTCCCAGTAAATAAACAGAAAACAGTATCATTTCTCCTGTTCTTTGTTTCAGGCATGTTCTGTTCCTGTGAATGGTGGTTGGTCGTCATGGTCACTATTTGGAGCATGCTCAGTGACGTGTGGAGGCGGACAGCAGACGAGATCGAGAACCTGCACAAACCCGACGTGAGTATCCGAAGTTGAACATCTGATTTCTGAACGTTCCGTTTGTTGCATCCTTGTTTTATTTTTGCATAAAATGAACTACAAGGCAGTTTCAAACCCTTGGCGTCCATAAAATCAAAACTAGTGTTCTTTCAACTAAGTTCAGAAACCTCATTTTAAACATGTGTCAAATTGTTTGGAAAATGACTAAAGTTCTTTTATCATTTTCCAGTCCCCAGAACGGTGGTTCAACATGCTCTGGATCAGCATTGGACAGTCAGTCATGTAGCACTCAGGTAAGCCAGGATTTTTTTTTAAATGATTTAAGGAATTTAATTTTTCCTGCTGGATCAGTCTTTGATGACTTGAACAGACTTGAGAGTGGCATACATCTCAAGTTAATGATACATAAATCTTATGTAGTATTGACAGAAATACTGTATATATTGCTTTTTTTCTCTCTCTCAGAGTTGTCCAACTACCTCTGGTCAGACTGTAAGGGGTACCTACAATGAAGGAACTTACAGAGGTAAGAGGTGCTCGCATTAACTGTTTTCAGTTGTATCAGGTCTTTTCAACTTTGAAAATGTGAACGTAAAAATAATGGAAAGATTGTGATTTATAGCTGATCTTTGTAGTAATTCTACTCAGTTTTGATAAAGTTATTTCAAGAGTTCAGTCAAGTGTATTCTCCATATCTGTGTAAATGAACAATTCTTAGTCAGTTTAGCAGAAAAAAACTAAGGAGATACGTCGTTTCACTTATGATTTGGATATCTCTCTCTTTCAGAATACAATGAGTTTTTGAGCATTCCAGTGGGTGCGACCGCTATTACTATCTCCAACACCAATCTGGTCACATTTATGGGTAGGTATATTTTGCTTATTAATTGACAGCATTCCAGGTGATTGCAGTTGATAGACAGGTGGCCAAAATAAACAGATTGATACAATGGACAGGTGGCCACAATGAACAGGTGGCCATAATTAGATGGTTAGTCACAATAGACAGGTGGCCACAATGGACAGGTGGCCACAATGGACAGTCGGCCACAATGGACAGGTGGCCACAATGGACAGGTGGCAGTAATGGATAGGTGGCCACAATGGATAGGTGGCCACAATGGACAGGTGGCCACAATGGACAGGTGGCCATAATTAGATGGTTAGTCACAATAGACAGGTAGCCACAATGGACAAGTAGCCAAAATGGACAGGTGGCCACAATGGACAGGTGGCCACAATGGATAGGTGGCCACAATGGATAGGTGGCCACAATGGACAGGTGGCCACAATGAACAGGTGGCCATAATTAGATGGTTAGTCACAATAGACAGGTGGCCACAATGGACAGGTGGCCACAATGGACAGTCGGCCACAATGGACAGGTGGCCACAATGGACAGGTGGCAGTAATGGATAGGTGGCCACAATGGATAGGTGGCCACAATGGACAGGTGGCCACAATGGACAGGTGGCCATAATTAGATGGTTAGTCACAATGGACAGGTGGCCACAATGGACAGGTGGCAGTAATGGACAGGTGGCCACAATGGACAGGTGACCACAATGGACAGGTGGCAGTAATGGACAGGTGGCCACAATGAACAGGGTGGCCACAATGGACAGGTGGCCATAATTAGATGGTTAGTCACAATAGACAGGTGGCCACAACGGACAAGTAGCCAAAATGGACAGGTGGCCACAATAGACAGGTGGCCACAATTAGACGGTTAGTCACAATAGACAGGTGGCCACAACGGACAAGTAGCCACAATGAACAGGTGGCCACAATATACAGGTGGCAATAATGGACAGGTGACTTCCAGTGGGGCCCCTTGGTAGAAGATATGGAAGGAAATCACAGTTTGAGCGGAGGGAGGAAAAACCCAGAATGATATTCTAGGGAAAACCCACGGAATAAGACAGTGACTGAAAACCCAATCCACATATTGGCCGAGGCAGGATTCGAACCCGACCACAGCGATGGAAGGCGGGGAAAGTACCGCTACGCCAACCTGATCCAACCATGCAACACTCGATTACAAATACACTATCCTTATTTTTTATTCCTTTCAGTAATCGACTGACATTCCTTTTCCCTTGTCACTGATTCCTTACAGCTGTCAAACACGGCAATAACTTTGTCATCGGAGATGCTGCTAGAACCTCACTCCCACCACGAACGATCACCACGGAAACCTATCAAGGAACGCCCATCACACATGATTACTTCTCCAACGGGCAAACTGTTGAGACGATCACGATAGCCGGCCCAACGAGCATAGAACTCACAGTCCTGGTCTACGTGCTGTTGAATCCCGATCTGTTTGGCACTCAGGCGATCCCAAGCATTAGTTGGTCCTTCCAATCAGCAGCCAACGAGTACCGATGGGTCTTGACCGAGGGCCCATGCAGCGTGACCTGTGGCTCAGGTAGGTACACAGGGTCAGATGTCAAAGGTCGACACTTTGAGCCAGCTGTCAGATCATGTTTCTCAACAGATTACAGACTGTACAAAATGCTCCTTGTGTGGATAAGTTTTAAAACAATGATTACCTGAAAAAATGTCCCACTCAATTTGTTGATGCTGCTTGAGCCAAATAGCCATCAACTTTCCTGTTGGTGTGGACAATTATAAAGTACAGCTGTGTAAAGCAGATTATCCTCAAATCTTTCGTTCGACATTCACAATAAGGTCAGTTCGTTTTCCTGAAAATGTATTCATAAGGTTTAGTGTGTCCTGCAAGCAAGCTTAGGACATGACCGAAATACTCAGCCAGGTCTGACGGTATTCAATGCCTCTGTGAGAAGTGGCTGCCATCAGTGCATGGGGAGATGCAAGCCATGACCAGCAGCCTTAGAATCAGACAGAGGAGCAAAGGACTGATTCACAGACACGAGTTGAATTAACTCTTTGTCTACATTTCTTTTCGTCAGGTACACGTACGGAAGTCGTCCATTGTGCACTCATTGTCAACCAGCAGCAGTATCTATCGGATGACGAGAGTATCTGCAGTCATTTAGTCAGACCTACTCCCAGTGTACAGACTTGCAATGAAGCGACATGCAATCCGGATGCAAGGTGAGGCAACCGGAAGTCAGCGCCACAACTTAAAGTTCGCGAGGACATTTCATTTATCCGGGAAATCTTTCCAAAAATTCCTATCAATTAGATGAATGAACCATAGAATTTGTACTCGGAGCACGAACTTTCGATGCTATACCAGTAGTTTCCATTATTTTGTTCGGCAGTCTTCTGATGTTTTGCTAAATGCCTTAGAGGAAACCTCTATCTTCTTTGATTTATTTATTTGCTATTAAGTTTTTTTATCTTCTGGTAATGAAACCAAGGATTCCTTCAAAAATTGCCCAAGGCACTGCAGCTCGCAAGCCTGAAAAAAAACCTGTAGAGAGCAGACAATGAGAAGAAATTACAGTTTTAGAGGTGGGAGGAAAACCCCAGAAAAAATATTCTGGGGAAACCCACGGAATCAGGTAGGGACTGAAAACCCAATGCACATGTGGACCAGGGCAGGAATGGAACCCGGGCCATAGAGGTGGAAGGCGAGGAAAGTAACCACTGCGCCGACCCGACTCCCGAATGATTGAGTCAGTACAAACTATTCGGAGTTCTGGAGTTTACTATTAAAAGAAACTCTTGTGCGTTTGACTGTGTTGATTTGACCACATAACTGCAACACATACGCACAATTGAAGGTTAACTTTCGCTTTTGTGTTTATTTCGTTATAGTTGGTATGTGGGCCAGCTGGACTGTTCGGGTTTATGTGGTCAAGCAAGTGGACGACGTACTGTTTATTGCATTGCAACGTCAGCCTCGAACCCCTGGCAGATTGTGGACGATTCTCGCTGTCCTCTTGAGCTGGAACCGTCAGATACTGCCGATTGTCAAGGCTTGCCTCCATGTGTATCAAGTAAGAGTTAAGACTGGGAATTAAAAATGCCAAATTAAAAACGAATTACCAACATTTCCAAAAATGCGTCTTTAGACCCATCTTTGGAAATGACCTTCTGATATAGTTTTCTTAAAAATGACAGCATGCCAGAAAGAATAATTTCACAGTGAGTTTAGTGTCATTACTATCTTTAAACCAAGCATGCTTTTCAACAATAATTTTGTCAGTTACTTTTTGGATAGCTGCAAGTGATATTACTCCACCTTTAAAAATTGCGAGAGAAATCTTTCCAAGAGAATGTGTCTTGCAGTGGAGCAGCGAAGCAAGACCCTCAGAGCTATTCCTTCTCAGTAACTTGCTGATGACACTTTTTACAGAACTCAAGTCTAATTTGTCTATTTTTCTCCGTTCTTGTAGGTCAGACTACTTGCAACACCACTGTGACCACAGAAGGCTCCATTAATCGTATGATCAGTCCAACCGGAGGCGAGCTATGTGCCTATACAATAGTGGCACCCTTGGGCATGCTGATCAACGTACGGATCAACAGTGTCAACATTGCATGCTCCCAAGGTAGGTGTTTCGAAACTCTTAGAGTAGTATTACACTCAGGCGCGGTTCTACAGGGGGGGCTAGGGGGGGGGGCTTTAGCCCCCCAAAAATTTTGTCTAGCCCCCCCAAAATAAATTCCGTAAAAAAAAAAAAGAATTAGCAAAAAGAAGGATTGTGATGTACATGTGTACATGCGAACGGTCTCCCCCTAAAGAAATAGTCATGACAAGGGTGCATTTGTAGTTAATATAGTGTGAATGATTTTAGGATTTTATTGGCATTCCACACCTATTGATTTTCGGAGGCCTAAGTGTCTGGAGAAAATAACCGGTCTACATTTCAGCACGCCTCCCTGGAAAAATTCTGGATCCACCCCCAAAATATTGGTTCTAGAACCAAAATATTGGTTCTAGAACCGCGCCTGATTACACTCTTGTTCTTAGTTTTAGAGGAGGCGGTTTAAGTTTGAAATCAAAATCAGCTAATTTTGTATTTTTTTCCCTCTTGAAATTACTCTTTAAGAGCCTGTTTCATGGTCGTCACAGTTATATAATCATGTGACACAAATGTCTTTGTAAAGATATATTTCATCTAGGCTGTTCATCATGACCCCTGTAAATTCCTACCAACAGTCCATTCGCACACCAAGGCCCGTAGCCAGCCCTGGGCATAAGGGGGGCCAAAGTACCAACTAAGGGGGCCCACAACAAAAATGTATGGCCTTTGTGGGGGGAGGGGGGGGGGGCAATGGCTCGCCAAGGGGGGCCTGGACCCACCAGCCCCCCCCCCCCCCCCCCCCCCCCCCCCCTGGATGAACTGTGACATTGTGACTACACATATCAAACCAAATGCATGTATGACATCACCCAGAAGTCTGTATTTTTTTGTCGACTGTTTCTGACAGCATTCATCGTTTTTTTCTTCTCACAGGTGAGGAGTTGGTGTTCAAGGATGCCTACAATACCAGACTCAACTTCTGTGAAGTGGCCGTCAGCCCTGGCTCCACCAAGCAATCCCGCACCAACGTAGCACAGATTGAACATAGGACCACACAAGCCGGTCACGGTTACAACATTGAATACAGTTTTGTGTCCAGCAGTCAGCCGTCAAGTAAGTTACTTAATTCCTCCCAAATCTTAGTCTTGAGTACATTCCACTCACATGATGAATGATATTCCCATGATACTCTCACAAACTTAAAATTTTTCACTTGGTAATGGATATTACACACACAAAAGATCCCAGATGTTACATTTGTGCTGTCTGTGAAATTGAAACACGCCCCACTTTTAGACTTGATTGTGCGTAGTATCACTGATCAGCTCTGATGGCACAACATTCCAATCGGTCGGAAATTTATCTGACGACAGATGTTGATTTGTCTGTCCAGTGTCCACTATCACAATGTCAGTGTTTGGTTTGAAGTTTAAGCGAAGTTAGGTCAAGGGATTTCAAACATGGGCTTGAAGAGATGAAAAATGAGATTGAAGAGATTAACAAAGAGATTAGAGAGATTAACAAAGAGATAACAAGGTTAATAAAGAGGTTGAAGATTAACAAAGAAATTAACAAATTCTCGGCTCACTTTCATTGAGCTACGGAGCAGAAGCAATAACATCCAAACTTAAACCTTCTCTCTCCAGGTTGCGATGAGATACTCATGGACAGCACAGGGATCATCCAAAGCCCCAGTTACCCAAACAACTACGGCAATAATCTCCTCTGTAAGAAGTACATCGTTGCCCCGGCCGACATGAAGATTGCCATCTCCTTCAACACCCTGAGCTTGTTTGGTGACTGCGCCCGATGGGCTCCGCTGTTCTACGACTACCTTAAGGTGAGTTACAAGAAGGTCACAAGACCAAGACAAGCCTCAAAGCTTGTCCCAGGTCGGACACAAATTTCTGTTCAATCGGTTCAGAATGGCTATTCACTGGAAGTCTTTTACTCGCATGCGGTCTACACATTGGGCCCGATTTAGCCCGTTTATTGCCGTCATGGGGTACTCCTAAATGATATCATTCGATACATTTCACAAGTGAAAGCCCAAAATCTCAAATTTGTTTGCAATTCGCTCTTTTCTCGCTTCCGCCATAGGCATGCACGGCCTTGATCTGGCAACTTTACACAATAAATAAAGCCGGTTCGGTGATTCCCGCTATTTTCATTGTGTAAACTTGCCAGATCGAGGCTCTGCATGCCTATTGCGGAAGCGTGGAAAGAGCGAATCGTCACGACTCGGCCTTTGGTTTAAAATTCATATTTCTTAACCATTTTTCTTTTCTTGTTTCTGCACTTCAGATCCACGACTACGATAAAAATACCTACCGTTGGTTTTGCGGACACTTTGATAACCCGTCCCAGCACAACTACGAGTCAATCTCCAACCGAGTTCTACTCACCTTCAGGAGTGACAACCAAAACGTCGCTCAAGGATTCCAAGCGACTTACTCATTTGTCCCAAGAAATTGATAAGTTTTTATTTGAGTTGTTTAATTTCACTTTTCAGTTGACCTTACTCCTTCAGCCTCTTTTGCCATCTCAAATTAACAAGATTCTCCTCACTGTGCAGCAACTCAACGGCACATTTTTGGTACTGTAAGTCGAGGGACATCAAGTCCCCTACAAAGTAATAGTGGCTGGGCCGTGTCTTCCTACATCTTACAAACTCCTCCAAGACCTGGTGGACTTTGAAGGCTCAGAGATGGTTAACAGAGAAAAATTGATGGGATCTGTTATTTCGAAACCTGAAATGTTGGAATATGGCACCAAGTGTTTTAACAACCGAGTCGTTGTTGGCAGTATCCTAGTATTTCAATCGTTATGTGTGAATTTAACGCCTCGGTGTCATTTTTAAAAAATTTGAAAAAGCTTGCAGTGTGGAAATTATTATTAGACTTGGTTGACCCATCACAATACTGGATTTATATTTAAGTGACAGAAGAGGAGGGTCATGGTTGAGGGAGTTTTATTTTTATTTTTTAGATTAGCTGGGAGGGAATGACAGTGTGCTATATCACTCTCATGATTGGGGTTTTTTTTTTTGGCCTATTTTATCTTTACAAAATCAAAGTAATTTTAGACATTCCTCAAAAAATGTGGAACCAGTTGACTTTGTTCATATATTGTTGGTACCAGCATTGCCTTATTGCTATACCCTTGCTTATAATTCTATTATAAAACGTGTGCATTCCATTCAACGTATGTTAAGTAGACTTATTTATTTATGCCACTTAAAGGGTACTGTACACACTTTTTATCTATTATTATGTGGAAAATATAACTCTTCGATTATTTATACGAAAGATTGTAAAAACTGAAGTATTCAGGAAGTGTTGCTGGACGACACCTTAACTTGTTTAGTCAACTGTAATGTAGTTATCCTGCACCATGTCTGCGATAAGTTCAGGTGTGTGTTTCTCCCTACGTCTTTCATACCTATGTCTTTCGATATTGAGGAATATCGAAAATATCGAAAATGTGTCAGATTATCTTCAAAATGCATCTCCCGTTTGTGCTTTTACTTTGTGTTTATCGTTTGCTGTATAATGAACCAAAACATGGTGGCAACATCGCCTGTCCTGGACAAACTATCAGCGCTGAGATTTGTTTTAAAAATTTTAAGCAATATGCTCAATAGAAAGCCGTGGAAAATTGGTACAAATTTAAGATTTTTTTTTATCAAAGTGTCATCCTTTTTGTCTTTAACTTTTATCTGGGACAATGGATATTGAATATTCTCGGTATTCTCGATATTGGATTTCCACAAATTAATCACAAGCCAATCACAAGTCAATCACAAGTCATATCACAAGTCAATCACAAGTCAATCACAAGTCAATCACAAGTCATATCACAAGTCAAATCACAAGTCAATCACAAGTCAATCACAAGTCATATCACAAGTCAATCACAAGTCAATCACAAGTCAATCACATTTCAATTACAAGTCATATCACAAGTCAATCACGAGTCAATCACGAGTCAATCACAAGTCAATCACAAGTCAATCACAAGTCAATCACAAGTCATATCACAAGTCAATCACAAGTCAATCACAAGTCAATCACAAGTCAATCACAAGTCAATCACAAGTCAATCACAAGTCAATCACAAGTCAATCACAAGTCATATCACAAGTCATATCACAAGTCATATCACAAGACAATCACAAGTCAAATCACAAGTCAATCACAAGTCAATCACAAGTCAATAACAAGTCAAATCACAAGTCAATCACAAGTCAATCACAAGTCAATAACAAGTTGTAACTTGTGATTAACTTGTAACTGAACTGTGATTGAATTGTGAATGACTTGTGACGACTTGTGACTGATATATTGGATTTTGGTTTTGGTTTCGAGTATCAGTCATTTGAATGAACAATACAATTGATGGCTATCCATAGTCATTTGCAGAATGTTACTTATGAGAAAACTGAATGCAGTTTGAGTAATATTGCATAATGTATTTTAAATGCAATTGAACCGTTTTTATTAAATCATATTTTATTTTCTTTCTGTTTTGTATCAGATTGTTATTACTTTACTATCCTACGTATGTATTTCAAGTAACGCACTGTTGTATGGACCAAGTACACTACGTGTATTTGATAATTATTTAAGCATTAATTAAGCGTTTGCTGTTTTGCCTAGCAGGCTGGTCCTGTGTTAATTGAAAATAAGACATCTTATTCGAAAGAAATATTTAGAGTGTGTTATTGTTTTATTTTGGGGTGTTTTTTTTTTTTGTCCGGATGGGAGTTGGTCATTTTTTTTTATGGTTTTTTTTGTTTTTCTTTTTGGTTTTTTTGTGTTTTTTTTTTTTTTTGGGGGGGGGTTTGGGGGGTGTTGATTTTCTAGGTTTGTATTTTTTGGGGGGGGGGGTTTAGATTTATTCACATTTGAAACAGTAGGTTTTCCCTTGCCAAATAAGTTAAATCAGAGTAAGCATTTTATGGGACAAGTGGGAAAAAATGTTAACAATACCCAAAACAGTTCATGAAGTAGTTCAGGGAATGGCACAAGTTCTAAGAAGGTGTTATCACCCTGTCCAAATGTCTTTGGATACAATTTTACCTTTTGAGTTGACCTTTGACCTTTCCTGGCTTCCTCATCTTCACTGGTTGCTTTCTGTCGTCGTCTCAACTGAATGAATGGTGAACCTCCTGCCTCTAGTGTAGCCTTTGAAAGACAAAACGTCAAAAGGGTAAAACAAGAGAATTACAAACTAAGCCTAAATGTGAAAATCAAAATTTGACAAAGTTCTACATGTTTTTGTACATGTTCCAACTGTGGCCTTTATTTACGGAGGTAGTCCAGTAAATTGGCCACATTTACGGGCTATATGAGTTGACATACCAAGTACCAAGATAGGTCACTGAAGGGAAAAATTAGTGATGGCTAGATATGGGAATAAAGTTCCCTTAAAACTTTAGGGGCAATTACGCATATCGGGGCCTGAACAGTTCGTTGTAAATTGACTGAAATTGGAACTGACGTTATTTGGTACTGTCCGGAAACTGGGCAGAAGTATTGACATTAAAATAAAACCATTAAAATAAATTGTACCTTTTCCAGTCCACTATCACCTGTGCATCACTTTCCATGAATACCCTGGATAAACACTTCGTGCATATTTTAATACAAAAATAAATCCTTTGTGTGGTATATGACGCACTCAATCTAGCACGTTTTTGAGCGTGGATTTTTAATTCTCGCGGCTATTTAAAACAGCGCCCTCAGGGTGACCGTAAGGTAATGACAAAATTCTGCAAGATATTAACTATTTTTCACATGCAGATGTTATAAAATTTCCTTAAACAAAAACAATAATCATAAAATTTCGTTTAAAAAGATTAAATTGGCTTGCAATGGTTTAAAGTACTTTACAGTGTATACTAATACACGTCAGGGAGCCTCAAATTGAAGCTTTTTCAAAACTAATCTGCTATATTTTTCGAATCTGCCATATTTTTCTGTCAGACCATCAATTTTACAGAATTCTGCTAGAAATTTGCTAAAAACTTCATCATGCTAACTTTTCTGTCAAACTCGTTTTTTTTTCGAAAAATTCTGTCAAAACGGTCATGTCATTCAGTGTCCAAGTTTAAAATACATATACTCTGTTAATAATGCTTCAGCGTCTAACTAAATTGAATCGTTTTCATAAAATATGCACAAAATTGATTAAGGAAATGCAATCCACATTTTCCATTTGAAAATTGTCCATTTTGTTTTGTTTTACATAATGCCCAACGAGACGGCTCAGTGAAAATATTCTGTCGCATTTTGGCCCACTTAAAACGGAGATAAAATAAAAACCAAACCAAATTTTGGAGAAGAAAACTTAACACCATTAGCATTTTAATTCAGCAGTTTTGGGGTTTTTTTTAACGAAAAGGGAACAAAGATTTTGAGATAAGGATACACAACCAAGTTAATTAAAGCGTAAACAAAGTGAGTGATCAGAACACGGAAAGTATGACCAGTGTGAAAAAGAACACGCGGAGGCAACCATGCACGGGAGAATAAGCTGGCTCTTTTAACACACACACCAAAAAAAAAATATCCTTCAAAGCATTTCGATTATATCGCGTGGTTGTACTTTATTCCCTTAATGAATATTTCAATAGAAGAAGGCGGTAGCCTATTGCACCAGGGAGAAGCTAGTCTATACCGGTTGATCAAGCAATAACTAATCGCGTGTGTTATGGACGCGGTGTGGACTGGCCAATTGGTCAACTTCTACCGGACCGCGGCCTGGCTGGATACGGGTATCATGCGGCTCTCAGTTCATTCAATTCTCCAAGAAAACGTTCATATTTTCCAGTTTAGCCCGCTTTTCTTCCATAAACGCAAACAAAAAAGGTCGGCGTTTAAAAAAAAAGTCCCGTCGTTCGTTCAGGAGTTATGCATGAACGGTTGCCGACTATAGGCTTGTTCGTGTGATGTGTGAGTCTTTTACGACCTCTCTGGCCAAAAGAATGATGGATTAGTCCAGAGAATTGAGCCCCGAAAATTTGGGGAATAAACAGAAACTCTGCATACGCGTTTTTGTATTTTGGGGCTTTTTTGTGCTTATGGACAAAAGAGGGGAATACAAAAGCCAAGGCTTGGCAGTTTTGAACTCCAGAAATTGGTCTTTACATCGCACATTCATGGTTTTGCTTGTGTTTCTCCCATATGCACAACAACTATTCACTTCAAATTCAATTAAAAATCCAATATAGGTACACCACGATGTTGCTTTTCTCTTCCTGCAAAAATTTAGGAGGATATCCAACGAACCTCTGTCAAGGTTAACGTGTGATGGAAGCTTAACATCAAGTAGATAATAAAACTGAATAACAAAAAAAAAACGTCTTGCATGGGCGTCGCCAGGATTTTTTCCAGGGGGGGGGGGGGCAAAGCAAATTTTTCCGAAAATTCCTTAAATTTTTCATTATATTCTCAATTTATCATTTTTCCGAGCGTGAGCAGGGGAGCACCCCCCCCCCATCAAATTAACAGCAATATGCCTTCGCACCTCTTTTTCCTTTTTTTCCTTTTTTTCCCCTTTTTCCTTTTTTTTTCGTTTTCCAGTGTGGGGGGGCCCCTTGCCCCCCCCCCCCTCGCGACGCCCATAACGTCTTGTAATTATTTTAATAGGGAGATTCGTTGGGTAAAAATGTGGTGCAGTAGTTAAAACAAGGGTTTTTTAATGCCACATCTGTCCTGGAAAGAACGTTTATTGAAAATGATCAGGAATTGTTAACGATTATTGGTCCTGGCATCGCGTGGCTCAAACCGTTGACTTTCTCTTCCCTTTTTAGGCAGAGAGGTTTCGGCATGTGGCCTCGCGTGTCTACACCCGTACGCCACCGGCCGCTGTCGTCTTGCACCAGGTTTGCACGCGCCGTCATGAATGCAAGATTCACCCTTGGTTTCAAGCGGCCGACGCCCGCTGGCCATCCAGGGACGGCGCACGCAACAACACACACAAAAAATCCCCACTATAGCTCCTCGATAAAAGATCGATTTTTAACCAACAAAACAAAACAAAGCAATAACATAAGGCAGTACAAATTACAAGCGGTCTTTCGCATTATTAATTTCCAGAGGAAAGACACGAATATCTGAAGAAGAAGAAAAAAGTCCGTGCCGCGGTTTGGGTGCTGGGAGCATTGTGTCAAATGAACACGTGCAACGGAAACGCAAATTAAATTTCGACTGTTTGCGGGCGCATCATTTTTTACTCGATATGATATAGGATCGTTTGGTATTGTCCCAAATGACAATGACCAGTTGAAGTGGGGGAATAAGCATAAAAGACAACGCTGGGCTACCAGTAGTTGATGAGATATGGCGATGAACTGACGCCGTGTCCACGTGAAGGTCACTCAAGCATTATTGTGTCTGAAGAGGACGTTATTCAGGACAGTGTGTATACGCCCAAGGGTAGCACAAAATTATCAAGTGCTCTCATTAACAAGGGCCTGTCGTCGCACTGGTTGAAAGAATTACGCATGGAGTTAAACACGAGGCGTAAATAATGAGAGTATATAAAATGGACTTTATACTTCCTGTTTTATAGTAAGTTTTTACAGAAAATCGCTGGAAGTGAAAAAAAAAATCATATAAACCAAACCAGTCTTAAGGTTTACAAGTTTGGTTAGCGATTGTGTTTCATTGCCGGTAAATTGGCGGTATGTGGTTCGGTTCCACCCAAGTTCATAAAATCCAGCTACTCCAGCAGGAACAAGTTACGCAGAATTTGTTTTTGTCTTCGGGGTTTACAAATGTTTATACTACCCAAGAAAAAACCTGCAATATAACTGATAAGATTGTTCCTAGAACAAAACGAA